TCAGTATATATGAATAAAAAACCCTAAATTTACCTTTACCAAAATCGAGTCCTGAAAGCAAAGCCCGGTCCTGAGGGAAACCCGATCTATCAACTATTCGACAGAAACCCAGACTGCTAAGGGTCAATGTTTTCCCTTTTCTGAAATTTTTCACTAAAATTTCTGGGTATTTGTTTGAAGATTTATGTGCGTTCATAAATCGTCGTTACTATTTTTGTTTTTGTGAGATTATTTCAGGGGAAAAAACGAAAGAGAAATCGAACGATAAGAAATCCGACATGTTCTGGGTTTTTGTATTTGTGCATTTGTTTGGATTGCAATGGGAATGTTCTGGGTTTTTTCTTTGGCGTTCGCAACCTTTTATCACAGTCTAAAAAGCTTATTTTTTACAAATTTAATCGAAATTAAATCCATTTCGTGTTTGTTGACGGAGTTTTCTCTTCTTTTTCTTTGTTCATAAAAAATGTTCGGCCTCCGGTGATGACGGTAGTTTTGAAGTTGAACTTCCATATGTCATGGGTGCATCGGGAAAATCCAGAAGACCCTCACAAAAGCCAAAGGTTAGAGACAATGCGAAGAAAAGGACAATGAGAAAGATACTGGCGACGGTAAGTAAAACAAAGGTGGCGGCGGAGGCGGGCAACCGAACGATGGCAGAGACGGCGGCAAAAAGGAGGAGGACGCGAGCAAGATGGAGTACGTGGCAGCTCAACTTGGATCCGGGTTCGGTTACGGGATGTTACTGTTTCAAACCGATTCTGAAAAAATCGGTTTTCTAAAACCCGATTCTGATTACGTGGCTCAAAAATTTCATTTGGCGTAACATGTCACCTGCCACGTAAGATATAAAATTATATTATTATAATCAGTTTTTTCGAAGGACTGATACGACACTTTTTAACAAGATTAGGATTTATTGAGACACTTTTTACAAATTCAAGAATTATTTGACATTCTCGCAAGTTCAGGAATTTTTTTTCTCGCAATTTACAAGTTCAGAAATTTTTAGGGGTTTTACCCTAAAATTAATTATATATAATTCATAAATTTATAAAAAATTATGATTAAAAGTTGTCGGATTCAGATATCCACAGGTACCCAAAAATTATCTCACGGATAATATATTTTGGGTATTCGAAAATTGGGGTTCGAGTTCGGGTTTTAAATTATGTTATCCGTTTGTTTCGGATTGGGGTTCATGTTCGAGTACCCTAAGAATTCCAGAGATCCGCCCTGTATCCACCCTTAATCCGATCCACGTCCATTGCTGAGTAAAGCGTAAATTCAGCATAATTACCATATTAGGTGACTTATAAACCGAAAGATGTTGTAATGAAAATCGTATATACGAATATAAAAAGTATATATGAATACGATTGTATTGATAACAAAAGATTTAGTTGCTCGATTTTAGTTCCTATGAGACAACAATAGAGTCTACATGCTTCCTCATCTTTCATTTCAATCCATTTTATGATATTTGTTTTGTTTTATCTTATTTTATTGTGATTCAAATTGATTGAAACCCTTATGCTCATAGACTAGAAATACAGAAACATGTGTTGGTTGCCTAACCTTTGTCGAAACTCAAAAACCTACTCTCTCTCGAAATTCATCGAAAAACGATGATGAACACGAAGAAACTGATCGAGATGGCGGGGAAATGGCAGTACAGAGCGACCCTCAAAAGGAAGGTCTAAAACTTCACATGCGGCGGAAAAAGGATGTTTCGTGTTCTACACGTCGGATAAAAGACGATTTTCTTTTCCGATAAGTTACCTAAACAGCTCGATCTTTCCAGAACTTATGACGATGTCTGAAGATGAGTTTGGTCTATTGAGCGATGGACCGATCGTCCTGTCTTGCGATTCAATTTTGTTAGAGTATATAATCTCTCATTTATGGACGTCTCGATATAGATATAGAAAGGAAAAATGACATTTTCCTACACCAACTTTGTAAAATATGACTTTTTCCTACACGAGCTTTTAATTTGACAAAAAACTACATCAAATTATCCAATATAACAAATTGATACATGAACTACCCAATTTAACTGCAATTTTCTATACAATCCAAAAACGGTATTAAATGTTCGTTAATCGATGAGTGGCACACCATGTGGCATCTGACATGGCATGCTACATGGAAAATTTTGCCATGTCAGCATGCCACGTCAGATTTTTTAAGAAAAACAAAAAAATCCGAAAAAAATTGCAAAAAAATAATTTTTTTTAAAAACAAAAACAAAAAATCCAAAAAATAAATAAAAAAATAATAATAAAAAACAAAAAAAAATTCACATATATATACATATATATTCATATCTATAAACAAATACAAATATAAACATATATACTCCTATATATGTATATATATTTGTATATTTTTTATTTTGTATATATATACATAAGAGTATTTATATTTATATTTGTATTTGTATGTGGATATATATATATATTTTATTTGTATGTATGTATGTATATATATACATATATATACGTATATATGTATTTATATATGTGTATATGTATATATATATATAAATATATTTGTTTGTATATATATGTATATATATTTGTATAGATGTTTGTATATATATGTGTATATTTTTTATTTTGTATATGTATAGATATATTTTTATATAGAAGTATATATATTTATATTTTTATTTGTATATAGATATGAATATATACGTATATAGGTATTTTTTTTACTATTTATTTATTTTATTTTTGATTTTTTTAAAAAAAAATCGATTTTTTTCATATTTTTTCAGATTTTTGTAAATATCTGACGTGGCATGCTGATGTGGCAAAAAATTCATGTAGAATGCCGATCAGCCGCCACGTGGTATGCCACGTCAACGATTAATGAACACTTAACACTGTTTTCGAATTATGTAGAAAATTGCAGTTAAATTGGGTAGTTCGTGTATCAATTTGGTACATTTGATAATTTGGTGTAGTTTTTTGTCAAATTAAAAATTTGTATAGGAAAAAACCACATTTTACATAATCTGTGTAGGAAAATGTCATTTTCCCATATAGAAAAGATTCTATTGATGGTTTCTAGAGATAGATGTTCATTACAGTGTCCTTTGCAACAAGAATAGAGAAATGAGCAATTGCTAGATGAGCAAAAGTTGTCGAATTCAAACGACCAAATTACCCGTCACCTCTTCTCGAAATATCTTCCATATAAGTGTAGTCTTTGACGCTGACATCAGCAATGGCGGAATCCGAACCTGGGAAGGAAGGAGGAGATTCCTTATCTTGATCCAAGAGTTTATTCAAAAGCTGACTATGATAAGGGATCTTTATCGTTTCATGATGATGCCCATGAGAGAAATTGTAATACCCCGATTTCCGATAAATTATTTAATTCAATTCCGTAAATAAAATAGGGTAAAAACAAGCCTAAAATATAAGATGAATGGCATAAGTATCGAATCGAAGACAAGTGGGGCTAAAACGGGTCAGAAACGTCGAAAAAACAAAGGAAAAAGGGTCTAGACCGATCGGTCCAGAGGTAGATCGACCGGTCTAGAGAAAAAAATGAGAAAGACGGAAAATTGGCCAAGACCGATCGGTCCAGACTGTAGACGGATCGGTCTACACATTTACAAGCCAGACCGAACAGTCTGGACTGGGCGACAGAAAGAGAGCTGTCGAACTGGCACCTTTCCGCCACGATAATTAAGCGACAAACTCGTCCCCACGCGCCACCACCCGTTGTTTCCATAAAGTATGCGACATGGACTGGCCCTCAAGCGTGTGGTTTAGCCGAATTGGACCCAAAAAACGATTATAAATCGGATTATACAGAGGAAGAAAATTATTTCGACTGAAAAACCTGAGTTTTTGAAGAGAGAGAAAGAAAGAGAGATTTAGAACAAATTGAAACGAAGAGAGCTCGGGAAATTGAGGAGGGACATCCCAAGGAGGTTCCTGGGAAGTTTCAGAGAGTGATGAGACCTGAGGAGCTCGCACAAGCTCGGACAAAAATGCACACTACTTGAATCCGAGGTGAGTGGTTTGAGTTGTGTTTGTGAGATCTGATTCTCATGAATAATGGTGTAGATTAGTGTTTCTACAAGAGTTAAGAATTTAGGAATGATAAATAATGATTGGGTAGCAATCGGAGTCGAAATCGGATCAAAATTGGGTCAAAAATGGCGGAAATCGGGTTAGATCTCGTGGAGAAGACGAAGTTCAGGACCCAGACCGATCGGTCTAGGCCTAGACTGAACGGTCTGGGCCAACATCTCGCGAACGGTCTGAGGTCGAGGTAGACCGATCGGTCTACACACATAGACCGATCGGTCTAGACGAAAATCAAACGGTTTGAGTTCAATGTAGACCGATCGGTCTACACACATAAACCGATCGGTCTAGACAAAAAAAATGTAGACCGATCGTTCTACCTCAAGACCGATCGGTCTTGCACAAAAATTAAACCAAGAGATCAAAACGTGAGGACCGGATGGTCTACTCGTAGAACGATCGGTCCAAACCAAAATAAAAACGGAAAAATCTCAAAATCGCTGGACCGTTCGGTCCATGTACCGGCTGCAACCCCGACTATGGGTCCAACGGATCAAATTATGATAAAGGAATTAAGATGTGATCAACTAAAAAATGAGAACACAAGTATGTTAAATGATTATACAAATATGGAAAAATATAAGATGGGAGAATTAAACCACAAGCCTTGGTGAGTATAAAAGATTAATCCAAGACCAGTACGGGGATGTAATATAGAAATAAAAAGGGAATTAATTATATGGGAATGCATATGAGTGAATGATTAATGGACCCCATACTTAGTACCGGTTGACGACGTGAGTTAGTACCAGTACAGGGATGTGTGGATGTGGAACCGGTGCCGGTTGACGAACTTGGAGTCAGCACTGGAGGATGTGTGGTTCGGTAATAGTACCGGTTGACGAACTTGGAGTCAGTACTATTACCGAAATGTAATACCAGTACCAGTTGACGATGTGGAGTCAGTACTGGTGTAATTGGGTGGACGTTTTCGTGACGGTACCGGTCGACGGAGTGGAGTCAGTACCGTTATGGAAATGTGTAGTGAAGCCAGTACCGGTTGACGACGTGGAGTCAGTACTGGTGAATCTGAGTGGTCGTCTCTATAATAGTACCGGTTGACGAAGTGAAGTCAGTATTATTATAGAGAAGCAGGGTAGAGTATAGTACCGGTAGACGGACTGAGTCAGTACTAGATGATACCGAAAGAAATGGTACCTGATGGTGTTGGTGGACGATTTGAGTCAGTACTATCAGGTATCGAAAATGTATGGATTAATGATAATATATTAAAAGGGTTAATGAGAAAAAGTTAAATTGATACAAAGGAATTCTTGTATTGAGAGATTAGTTGGCACCGTTCTCCATGAGAATGGGCTCTCCGGGATCAACCCAAGCTCCTCACTAAGTATTTTGCTTAGCCCTCCATTGTTGAATTTTTCCTATCCCGAGGAGCACGAGTAGCGTACCTTGGACGACGACGACTTTGTGAAGGCATCATTATGTACGGATAAATAATTCTATTTTGTACGTTTTGGATTGTGGAATAAGGTTCCGCGTGAAAACGGTTGTGTTTAATTATGTGTTGGACATGTGTTGTTTTCGAGAGACGTGTGATGATTTTATTCCGTTGCGTGTTTGTATTTAAAAACGATTTTTAAATTTCCGTACTTTTGGTTTTATTATGTTTTATTGGTTTTCGTCCATGTGGCATATCCTGTTCACGGGATGCGGGATTCGGGTGTCACAGAAACGACGAAAGCAAAATCCAAGAGGAAGTGGAAGGAGAAGATATCGACCGTGAACGGGTGACATTATTTTGGAAGTTAACCTCGCGATCAAGCTGACCGTCCGTTCGAGAAATAAGATCTGGCAGCAATGAGAAGGCAACTAGGGTTTTCGTCAGCTCGATCCAGAGATCGACTGCTTTACGCTTCATATCTTTCAGAGACCCTAATGAACCGGTGGAATCCGTGACTCGAGCCTTACACTTCCCACGCTGGAAAAACCCTAAATCGCCCGACGAGAAAATTGTGAGAGAGGCTCAGCTAGGGGTGGCAATTTCGGTTATTAACCGAATAATCGAGGCGAATCGAATCGAATAAGACATAACCTTATTCGAACCGAATCCACATCAAAACCGAATGGTTATGATTTCTTTAAACCCGAAAAAATCGAAACGAAACTGAATCAAACCGAATTAAAAAAATAACCGAAAAACCCGACAATTTCTTTGAAAAAATGAACTTTTTCCCGAAATCGAACCGAACATGAACCGAAAAATAACCGAACCGAACATAACTGAATTTTATATAAAAACCGAATGGTTATAGTTTTTCTATAACCGAAATAACCAAACCGAACCCGAATCGAAATCCGAAATTATTGCCCGCCACAATCTAATGGGTCCGGGTTTTATAAAGAGGAAACTTGTACAGCAAGTAACTCAATTCAACTAAACGTGATTATTTATTTTGGGATTAAATTAAGTCAACTCAATTTCATTTTCCTTTTTTTTTTTGGATTAAAGTAAGTAATAAAAGCTAAAACAAAAAAAAATAAGTAATAATATTTTTTATAAAGATAATATCAAATCAATTTCAAAAAATAACATGATATGAGAAGACTACTTTTTTTGATAAAAAAACTTGTACAGCAAGTACGAATTATAAATACAGGTCTGATCTGTTGGGTTTTCGGAGGGACGTTGTCTGTAGAATTGTTTCCTTCTTCCCTCCGAACCAGCTCTGAAAACCAACGCCGGAGGAGATGATCGATCTCCATGGCGGCGGAGGACGGAGCTTCTCCCTTGTGCATGGCGATGGCGGCTCTGTTTCTCAAGGCGGAAACATCAGATGCTGTTACACGTCCCTCCGAAAACCCAACAGATCAGACAGAAGAACGATCCGAAGAAGGTAACCGACAACAATCCCGTCTGATAATTTCCGCCATTAGGTTTTGTGTTTTCAGACTCTTTTCTTTACAAATTTCAGGAAGAAGACGAACCCCCTCGTTTATCGATAGAGAAAGAACATCAAGATCCTCGCACTGAGATTCAGAAGAAGAGAGAAGCCTTCCGGCTGTCGCTTGACAAGGTTTGATCATTTGAATCATTTCTTCTTCTTCGAGCAGTCTTTGATCTTGTTTCTGTTCGGACAGCTCGAAGCCGACGCAAAAGTGGAGAATTATCTGAAAGATCTCAGACAACTTGTGGAACTCGGTTGCTCCTTCCTTCGCCACGAAGTTCGTCTCATGGAGGAAAACGGAGTACATAACACACGGGATCGGGTTTTCACACGTTACGACGATGAGAAAGTGCCAAAGAACAATCAAGATCGGGTTTTCAGACATTACTTTCAATTCAAATCCGAAGGGATGAGCCCGGAAATACACGAACGAAGCCAGAGATGCAGTGACGACGTCAAGGAACAGGAGAAGAAGGTAAACAGCAACTATGATAAGATCATGTCTTCCCATAAATGCTCGTTTTCGACTGACATCGTCTCTTTCCAGAGGCGGTGTGTAAAATTCGCGAAGCAAGATAAGGAAATTCAGAAGAACGGATCCAAGAAATCCATGGATCAAATCGACGAACCGAGTCACGACGTTAAGGAGAAGCAGCAGAAAGAGCGTCAAAATTCGGAAAGAAACAAGAAGGGAGAAGCAAAACCCATCGCCATGGAACTCGATGATCTGCTTGACAATTGGTACCATGACATGCAACAGACAGAGCCCCCTCGCTTTGGCGTTCCTGTCTCTGAGGAGTTGGGTTCGAGCAGGAGATTCGAGGAAGAAAGCGTTAAGACAGTGGAGAAGAAGGTAACTGAACTGCTTGTGTTTCTCTTCCCACGAATGATTGTTTCAACTCATTTTCCCGACAAAAATTTCAGGAGAAAAAGGCGCCGAAAGGGCCGCCGGCGGAGCCCCGCCGAAGAAGAGACCGGACACAAGCAAGGTACGTCTCCTTTCGATTTTTTTTTTATGGATTTTCTTAATCTGTTTTTTTTTTTAATTTTCTTTTTTCCGATCCGCAAAGATTCTTAGATTTTTTTATGGATTTTCTTCATTTATTTTTTTATTGAAGGTTATTATTATTAATAATTATACTAATATTTTGGTTAATTAATATAAATGTAAAAAATTGATTTTATACATAATATTTTAGAATATTCTTCCATAATTTGAATGTTTTGATTTTATACATAATATTTTAGAATATTCTTCCATAATTTGAATGTTTTTCCTAACAATTTTTTTCTACTTAAATTTTTAAATTTTCAGACCAAGAGCTCTTCGGATATTGGAAAAAAGGAAACATATGGCCATGCAGAATCATTTTCCAAAAGCAACGATAATAATAATAATGTAAGTAACCAAAATAATTTTGACATTCATTATATATCTATACATTTAAATTTCAGACTCATTTTTATGTTATTTTTATACGCTTTTTAGGTATCAAAAGAATCGGATTCAACAATTAGAGAAAAGAATCTGAGATTAGAGACAAATGCCATATCGAATAACGGTTCCATGAGAGACATCATCGCGAAGGCAAAAGAAGCAATGAAGAAAGTACGAGAAAGGAGACTTCAAGAACGATAAATCCGTGCACTTTTTGAATCATATCTTTTTTGTTCTTGTAACATTTTTTTGAAATATGAGATTTGAAATCATTTGTTTGACTATCCCAAACTTTTACATTGATGTATCGGGATTTCCATTTTTTATGCAAATGTAAATATAACAAATAAATTTCATAAAATAAACAGAAAATAGTTAGATGGAAACTAAGTTATGGACATCTTGTAACACCCGATCTTCATTGTATTTGCGACGGATTGACCGATTATACTAGTGATAGATGTTCTTTGCAACAAGAACATAGTACTCACCAATTGCTTGTGTTAAAAGTCTCATAATTTTTAGATGGTTTGCCTTTTTTTATAAAATGAAATAAGGTTTTTTAATTTTAATTCCAATTTCTAGATTTCTCTTTCTCAGCCTTTCTAAATAGTAAATAATCTGATGATGTATTGATATATCTCCAAAAATACTAAAACAATGCATCATTTTTCATTTTTTACTCGCTAGATGAGCAAAACCCTGCCACTTCAATGAATTGAAATGACCAAATTACCCCTCCCATATTCTTGGAATATCTTCCATATAACAGCTAAAACTGAATCCCGAAGACTCTATCCCCCTTCTTTCTCTCTCTCAGATCAGTCTTTGATGCTGACATCAGCAATGGCGGAATCCAAACCTGGGAAGGAAGAAGCAGAGGCTATACTGAAGAACACGACGGAGTATCTGAGGAATCTCGAGGAGCTGATACGGAAAGTGACCGGTCCGTCGATGGAGGTCTTCCCGACATCCATGGGTTGGATTAACGGTCAGATCTTGTATGCCGTGGAAGACAAGAAAAGGGATTGCGGAGAAAAGATGACGGAGCTGAGAAAGATCCACAACCTTGAACTGGGAGACGCATTCGTCATGTCCATGTTGGATTTCCCGAAAACGAATCTGCGACAAGTGAAAAGGAAAAGGGCTCCCAGAGAACAGATCAAAGGGCTTCAACAGATTCCTGATCTTGATCCAAGAGATTATTTAAATGTTCATTATGATAACGAATCTTTATCGATTCATGATGCCCATGAGAGAAATGGCAAAATCCAAGAGGAAGAGGAAGAAGAAAATGATACCGAATTTGGCAGACTGGAAGTAGCATCCCGCGAAGTGGGTGACATATTTCGGGGTCCCGAAGACGAAGATCCCGACTCAAACCCGAAATCTGAGTCTCTGAAAGATATAAAGAGTAGAGCAGTTAATCTCGGGATCGAGCTGTCAAAAACCCTAGTCGCCTTTTCGTTGCTGCCTGTCCATTCGAGCCAGATCGAGAAACAAGCTCAGTTGGAAGGTTGGATCTTTCGGCGATCTTGCAAGGAAGATTCCGAGGTGTTTTATCTAATCGATTTCCTTCTGTTCACTGCTAAAGAACTCGCCAGAAAGGAAGAAGAAAAAGAAGACAACAACGTATCTGAAGCCGAGAAGATCAGCAAAGATCTGATTGAGAGATTGGCCAAAACAATTAGCGGGTTGCAATCGATAGTATCGTATCTTCAGCGTAAACCCGAGATTTCCGAGAGAAACGAGTTGGCTCGGGTAGAGCGCTTTCATTCGCAGTGCAGCGAAAATCTTGGAGCTGCAAAGGAGGAAACAAACAAGTTGAAGGAAATGTTAGGACAAGAGACGGAAGAAGCTTTACAGCAGGAAATGGAGCTGCAGATAAACAGATGCTGGAATGATAGGTTTTGGGAGTATGTCTCAACATCATGGCTCTATAGGCTCTTGAGTAGATTCCCAGAAATCGTTTACGCTCTGTCCAAACTAGCTGTTCTAGATTCGAATCTCTGGTTAACAGAAAACTAGGGTTTTACACCAAGAAGTTTCAATGATTTTTGTCAAAACACACTTTCAGTTTGTGAAGATACAGATTTTGATGGGTTCTGTAATATAGGAAATTGGCTTCAGGACATCATTCAAATCCTAGGACTCGAAATGCAGAAAAACCTTAAACTAGCCTCACATGGAGCTTTCACCTTTCAGGACAAGGAGACAAGAAACAAGCATAAGAAGCATCATTCCATAAGTAGTTGATCTATAGACCACAGAAGCTGATCTCTCATTCTGAAAATTTCCCAAATTTTGGCTTCTGCTCTTCCTCACCATTTTCAATCCAACACCTGCAAGAAAAACTCGTCTTTTCTCCCTCAATTGGATCCACCATTCATTTCAGTGAAAGCCAAGGTAGTATGCAGTCAGAGTGGTGGATATGCTTACACAGTTCCCCGCCTCAGAAGCCGGTGGTGCTCCAATCTCGAACCCCGAACCCATCGGGCATGGTCGCAGGTAACGATCGGCGACCCGACCCAGTCCCGTCGTCGTGGTAAAGCTCGTAGCTTCCCGCAGCTCCATCATTCCCACCGCCCCTCGTACTCGAGCTCCGCCGCGGAATTCGTCGGAGCACGAGAACGCGTCCCGCAGCCACGATCGGGGCAGAGGATCAATTCGTGCTCCCGAAGCCGTATCCTGATGAACCGATGGAACCTGCGACTCAAATCTAATTCAAAACTCGGAGGGTTCTCTGCACACAGCGCAATTCGATTCGACACGATCATGATCACAGGTATCCAGTCGATTGCTGCCTCAGAAGCCGGTGGTGCTCCAATCTCGAACCCCGAACCCATCGGGCATGGTCGCAGGTAACGATCGGCGACCCGACCCAGTCCCGTCGTCGTGGTAAAGCTCGTAGCTTCCCGCAGCTCCATCATTCCCACCGCCCCTCGTACTCGAGCTCCGCCGCGGAATCGTCGGAGCACGAGAACGCGTCCCGATTTCTTCGACGAACCCGCAGCCACGATCGAATCAATTCGTGCTCCCGAAGCCGTATCCTGATGAACCGATGGAACCTGCGACTCAAATCTAACAAAAACCCTAGAATCGAGCCTCAATTGGGTGAAACCCCAAAGCTAAAACAAAAAAAAAATATTTAAATTATTTTAAAAATATATTCTCAGTAAATCTAAAACATTTTTCCGTTGGATGGATTTCAAAATTCAATCCAACGAATTTCCATTTTATTAAAGCAAAAATTAATGATAAAAAAGAGAAAAGGAAAACCCATACATATAAATACAGCAAGTACGAAGTCAAACATTGTCAAAGTGATCATCTCAGAGATTTCGGACATCGACGGAGAGAGAAGAGATGAGTCGTGAGAAGAAGAGTGTCACTGTAACAGCGTCTGATGTTTCCGCCTTGAGAAACAGAGTCGCCGTCGCCATGCACAAGGGGGAAGCTCCCTCCTCCGCCGCCATGGACATCGATCATCTCCTCCGGCGCTGGTTTTCAGAGCTGGTTCGGAGGGAAGAACTCGACAATTCTAAAGACAATGTCCCTCCGAAAACCCAACAGATCAGACAGAAGAACGATCCGAAGAAGGTAACCGAACCCCCTCGTTTATCGATAGAGAAAGAACATCAAGATCCTCGCACAGAGATTCAGAAGAAGAGAGAAGCCTTCCGGCTGTCGCTTGACAAGGTTTGATCATTTGAATCATTTCTTCTTCTTTTCTCTCGTCTGAATCGAACAGTCTTTGATCTTGTTTCTGTTCGGACAGATTGAAGCCGATGCCAAAGTGGAGAATTATCTGAAAGATCTCAGACAACTTGTGGAACTCGGTTGCTCCTTCCTTCGCCACGAAGTTCGTCTCATGGAGGAAAACGGAGTACATAACACACGGGATCGGGTTTTCACACGTTACGACGATGAGAAAGTGCCAAGAAACAATCAAGATCGGGTTTTCAGACATTACTTTCAATTCAAATCTGAAGGGATGAGCCCGGAAATACACGAACGAAGCCCGAGACGCAGTGACGATGTTAAGGAGCAAGAGAAGAAGGCAACGGCAACTGTAACTGTAACAAGATCTTTCCAGAGACGTGACGCGAAAATCACACAGGAAAAGGCATCTGCGCGTGCGGATATTCATCAGAAGAACGCCATGGCAGAGGAGAAGCAAGAAAAGAAGCAGAAAGGGCAACGAATTTCAGAAAGAACGAAGAAGGAAGAAGCTCAATCAGTGGCCATAGAACTCGATAATCTCCTCGATAAATGGAAACAGACGGAGCTCACTTGCTCGGGTGTTATTACCGAGACTCAACTGAAAAGTTTGGAAGACAAATCTCCAAAGACGAAAGAGAATAAGAGACAGAGGGATCATGCCCTCGTTCCTGATGCAGTTCCTGTCTCGAGCAAGAGAGTTGATAGAGAAAGTCTTAAGACAGAGGACAAGGTAACTGAACACGATCCCATCTGATATTTTGCTGCCTTAAAGATTGTGTTTTGTCTTCCCATGAATTCTCGTTTTAGACTCACATCGTCTCTTTTCAGAGGCGTGACGTGAAAATCGCAAAGGAAAAGGCATCTGCATGTAAGGAAGTTCAGAAGAACGGATCCAAGAATGCCATGACCGAGGAGAAACAGAAAGAGCATCGGAATTCGGAAAGCAACAAGAAGGAAGAAGCTAGAGCTCTCGCCATGGAACTCGATGATCTGCTTGACAATTGGTACCATGACATGCAACAGACAGAGCCCCCTCGCTTTGGCGTTCCTGTCTCTGAGGAGGAGTTGGGTTCGAGCAAGAGATTCGAGGAGGAAAGTGTTAAGAGAGTGGAGAAGAAGGTAACTGAACAACATATGATCTGATTGTGTTTTTCTCTTCCCAAGAATGATTGTTTCAACTCATTTTCTCGACAAAATTTCAGGAGAAAAAGAAGTCGAATCCGATAGAAAACGAGTCCAGCCCGAAGAACGGCTTCAAGAAAACCATGGACAAGGCGAAAGAAAAACACCGGATGAAGAGACAGAGTGACGATGAAAAACCCTCAGCCGCGGTGGTTCCCGGGAAACGGCGACGAGACGAGGCTGCCGGCCAAGAACCACCAGAGAAAAGATGGGACACAAGCAAGGTATGCCTCCTTGTATCTCTTCTTCAGTAGAAACGCCCTGATATTTTCTGTAATCTGTAATGTTAATGTTGTCTCTTACATTTTTTTTTTTGTTTACTTCAATTTTCAGACAAAATCCGTACCAAAGTACGATTCCACAGAAGTCGGATGTACGAAGGACGTTGTCTCTTCGGCTTCCAGCGTGGCAGAGAGAGAGACTATCGCTAAGGCAGTACAAGAGTTGAATGAAGCCGGCGTATTTGTTCTGCCCTACACCTTCATATTCTGAAAAACACATACACAGATATATATATATATATACACACACACATATATATGTGTGTATGTATGCACCCACCCACACAAAAGGGTCCGCTGTATTTAGAGATTCTGAGTTGTGTACTTAGCTTTGTAAAACAAGAATTTTTTTAATTTCAGATATGAATAATATGATGACTTTATTAGATGCATAATCATATCCATATTTAGAGCCTTTACATCATTAAAACTAATTTCCTTTATTTAGCAAATAAAAATGGTGATGGGTTTTCTCCTCCTCCTAAAACTCTGTTCTTGTAGATTATTGCTAGAAATCGACATTAGATAATCCAAGTAGAGTGAATCACAAGGCACTGAGATCGAGTCGTCTAGGTAACTTGTAGGCCAAGAAACCACCTGCCGTGTAGGCCAAGAAACAGCCTATCTAAGAGACTAGGACAAGGAAAGAGATTTAAAAGTTACTTCGGTTTTGTCTTAAGAAGAGAAAATAAGGTTCTTGGATTATAATATACAGAAGAAATGATAAAACAAAGTGAGAGAACCCCAACCCTACACACACATGCTTCTGTATTTCTTGTCTCCCAGCTAGAGGTGGCCGTCTTAGCCCGTAATCCGGGGGTTTGGAGGTAACCGGTTTAGGAGGTACCCGGCTTAACAAGTACCCGAATAAAGTATACCCGAATATTAACGACGATGAGATCGAGTATTAATAAGACTAAGTTTTCGACTCCCGAGTCCGAATGGAGGTCCAATTATTTTACAAGGGGTACTCGGGGATATCCGGTATATTTGCTAAAAATCTAAAATATACTTTATATTTATAATATTTTTGTCTAAATTATTCTTATTATTTATTAAAATGCTTTTATTTTAGTTCAATTTTTTTTATGTTCTAAACCTTTCTATATTTTGACTTCTCTCATTTGTATTTTCTATATATATCATTTTATAGTTCAAAATTTTATAAGTCGTATGGGTCGGGTACCCGCGAGTACAAGACCGAGAATCTCATTAAACCCAAGCTATAAGTACCCGGATTTTATGAAGCCAACACTGAGATAATATTTTTATAAAACCCGTGGTAATGAAAACGAGACAGGTTTTTTAAAAATTGGGGGTACCCGACCCGTGCCCATCCCTACTCCCAACATTAGGGTCCCAAAAGTTTGGTAATCAAATTGATCTACTAACCAACTTTGTTCACAAAAAAAAAAAAGAAGAAATTATTTCATAAAACAAGAAATGGATACAATATATCTGGCAGGTGAGTAAAATATGTAAAACATGTATAAACGAGTAAATAAATATAAATTTAAGAAGACTAAAGTTGATTAAAATCATTATAGAGATGATTAAGAGACATTATAGACACAAAATCAATTGATATTTTTGTTGATTATCTATTAATTTATTTATTTTCGTTACTTTTTTCTTGTAAACTTTCTTTTTTTATTAGTGTTTTCTATAAATTCTCAAATTATTCTTACAATATACGACTAGATTTTGTGACTTTCTTCTTTTATATATTTCTTATTCTGTAATAAAATTTTCAAAAAAAAAAAACACATGCCGGTCCACATGCTTTTGTACTCTCTATCCACAAATGACATTAAATTCATCATCTTGGCCTTGTGGTTAGGAATAGTTAGATGATTGATTTATTTCAGACAAGAAATTCAGAAGAAGCATAATGTTGTCGGTTGCTCAAGCCTTGTCTAAACCTTATCTGTAACCATTTCTCAATATATATATATATATATACCACAAGAGCTCGTTGCATTCTTCATCAATCAAAACTTGCTTTCAAGAATCTGAAATAACTACGGGAAAAAATATATATTTTTCCAGTGTCTTGAAACGATGTTGAACGCAAAGAAATTGATCGAGATGGCGAGGAAGTGGCAACAGAGAGCAGTCCTGAGGAGGAAGAGAATAGCATCGGCAAGATCATCGACCGTGGAGAGAGGCTGTTTCGTGGTTTACACGTCGGATAAAAGGCGTTTCGTTTTACCGATAACTTATCTTACCGAATCTATCTTCCAAGAACTCTTGAAGATGTCAGAAGACGAGTTTGGTCTGCCGGGAAACGGACCGATCACACTGCCATGTGATTCAGCCTTCTTCTTACAAGAATCTGAAATAACTACGGGAAAAAATATATATTTTTCCAGTGTCTTGAAACGATGTTGAACGCAAAGAAACTGATGAAGATGGCGAGGAAATGGCAACAGAGAGCAGTCCTGAGGAGGAAGAGAATAGCATCGGCGAGATCATCGGCCGTGGAGAGAGGCTGTTTCGTGGTTTACACGTCGGATAAAAGGCGTTTCGCTTTACCGATAACTTATCTTACCGAATCTATCTTCCAAGAACTCTTGAAGATGTCGGAAGACGAGTTTGGTCTGCCGGGAAACGGACCGATCACACTGCCATGTGATTCAGCCTTCTTGAACTATCTCGTTTCGTTGGTTCGAAGACGTCTGGATAAAGATACCGAAAAAGCCCTGCTGATTTCAATGCCGAGTGATAGATGTTCATCACAGTGTTCTTCCCGACAAGAACAGAGCACTCTGCAACTACTTGTTTGTTAGGGTTAGCTGCAAGAAAGATTAGATTTTTGTACAGGTTGGGACATGTTAGATAGACAGGAAGATTGCGTTCAAATACATTTTTTGTGGGCACACATAAAATTTTATTTAAATTGTTATTTAATACATGATATTCTTCTTCTGTTTTAAGTTTGCATTTTATGGCATTAAATACCAAAAACAAAAACACCGGGGCTTGTTGTGTCTGAAGGATGACAAGAGTTTCAGGACAAATTCTACAAGTCTGCGAAGAAACTACTTGTGTCTGAAGGATTTGATTTGCTTGCTGTTTTCCTCTTGGTTCCTGGACAAGGAGAAAAGATCAAATGGTTTCAAACCCTTTTTGCGTTTCCTGAAGCCATTGTTATATATTAACACAAAAAGTCCACAAGTTTACCTTTAGAAGACTTGGGAGGATTGGTATCGACATCCATGTCATTCTCGCTATCACTGCCTCCAGAAGCCGCAGCTTCCTTGTCCAAGTTTCCGTTGGAAGATTCTAGAATCTCGTCCAAATCCCATAACTTTGTCACGGGGAATGAAAAATTACGTCGAAAAATTCAGTCCTGTAACTTGACTCTAGATCCGAAATGGTTTTGCATTCAAGGAGAGGGAGAGAAGAACTAAGATGGTACCTTCAGTGTACTGTCATGTGCGGTGCTACCAAGAAACTTTTTGTCGTAAGAGAGCGCTGCCAAAAAAACAGAAGGGCAACGAGTTTGAGATTCGTCTATCTAGCCAGGGAAAGCATAAAACATGATGAAGAGGAAGAAAAATGACACCCGAGTAAGAGTGAACAAGAAAACAAGATATATGGCAGATCATATTGCCTCAACTCTCAGGACAGTGAAACTTAGAAGTTAGAACTCATTTTCTACAAAATGTTAGCATAAAAGGAGAGATGTCGATACCAAGATCTTCGATAGGAAACTCATGTGCTCCAATCGGCTGTATTATTCTGTTGGGTAGTATTCCGACGAGGCTGACAAAGTAAATCAAACCTAGAGTGAATCAAATGAACGCAAATTGCATAATGACCACATTCAAGATGACCTGCTGAGTTTTAGTTACGGATATCTTACCTAATTATTCCATTATCGCATCCAGTTATGACTCTGTCCTCGTCAAGCTACAACACAAAGTTCACAGAAATCCATTAGCCAAGGCCTCTTCTTTGAAATCAACCATATGCTCGAAACAGAGAGAAAGACCGCTCACCTTTAATAGAGTATCAACTGAATTTGGTGACAGATCAACAAACCGGTCGCTGTAAACAAGAGAAGTGTTTAAGGGTTCTCACAAATAATTTGTCAAGACAAGCAAGTAACTAAGTGGGTGAATCTCATAATGGCCTAAACTAGACTCTTCATTTCCATAAGCTTATTCGAATGTTGAAGAATATTACCTGCAATCCTTGAAAAATCCCCATGAATACAACAAGATGGTGCCACTTTGTGTTCCACAAATAACCTTACGGCCATTCTGAAATCAAGTAGGTTTGAGAGCAAACATAAATATCGATTTTTCATGAATGGAAAAACAATGACGACAGATGAGCTAGAGGACAAGGTTAACTATTCTATATATTCAACCTAATACTTATTTTTGTGATAAATGAACCATTCAATATCCAGCAATAACATATATCATCCAAAGGGGCTAAACCTAAATCCCGATATTCTTAGAGGAGAACCGAAGGTGTTCTCCCACAAGTCTCCAGATGAACAATAACGTTCTAGCCTTCAACAAAACTGTTTCTAACACAGGAAAGAAAATGAATTCAGCGTCGCGATCAAATGGACTTGCCTTCATTATAGCAACAGAAAGCAGCTCATCTTCAGAAAATTCAGACTGAGATTGGACCTGTCATATAACGTTCATTCAAACCAATGTTACTGGTGACTTGAGAGCTAATATTGCAGTAAAATTTGCACAAAACAATGTCACTGCAATCAATCAAAAGTATCACCTTATTTGTTCTGAGATTGCAGACGGACATAGTCCCATCTCCACTACACAGAGCCAAAGAAACCAAAACAGAAGGAAAATTGGAAAAATCTGTATCAAAGAACTCGCAGAGCGTCTTCTGATACGAGTATCAGTTAAAGTATTTAAAGCAAGAAGAGATGACTGGGAAGCAAATTACCTTGTTGCCACCAATTTCATTGATTCAGACACAAAGGTCATACCAGAAATGTAATCCTCGTGTGCACCAAACTCATTGCAGCAAGAGCGCTGTCTGGTGTCCCAAACCTGAACAGATGAGAAAATACAAAGCCAATTCACAAAATTTAATACAATGCAAGAGGATGTAAGAATAAGTAAGTAAAGATACTGAGAAAATAAATATAATTTTATGGAAATTAAGATACCACAAACAATTCTGCAAAAATAAACAGACAAGAGAAAAGCTCAGCAACCTTAATGCAACCACTGTCATCCCCAGATGCGACTGTTGTTTCAGTGACATTGATCAAAGCGTTAATGGCCTCCCTAGAGAATTATACCACATATAATCACAATCAAGAGGGAAAAAGGGGGGGGGGAGAAGAAAATCAATCGACATTCTATGGAAAAGGAGAGGATAATAATACTCATGAGCATTCTCGAGGCGGGCAACAACAGAGCCAGTCTCAACATCAGTAGCTAAAATGGAGCAATCAGCCGAAGCAGTGACGATTCCTAACCCATAAAAGGAACTGTAAGCATAACTTAGTGAATGTATATCACACACGCTTATGTGAAGAAGAAGGAAAATAAAAGCTTAATAATGGGAAATAAATTAATAAAGGAAACAACTTTGCCCATCATCGATGAACCGAGTAGCTCTGCACGATTCCTTGTGTGCCCGAACTTGAAGAACCCTAATTTCAATCGGTAATCTCTCAGAAAACCCAACAAAATTTAACACCTTAGAAGTCAAATATGTGTGTACCTGAGAGGTGTAGAATCTGGGATGTATCGGTATCTGTAATCGCACGCATGGATTGAATTTAAATTTTCGGTGATTCTGAGTTGGGAAACCAACAAAAAGAGAAAACTGGAGCTTACAGATGCAATTGGCCATCGATGAGACCGGTAGCCACCAGATTCTGCGAGGGATGAAAGTCGACGCCGAATGCGTTTGCTCCCAAATCAATCTCCATCCCCAGAAATCTTAGTTACACAATTTTTCTGCCAGAAAATTCAAAGTTTCACAACCAAAATGAATCATCTTCAATCACCGAGAAGCAGCTCAGGGAAAAAGGAATTTAAAAGTGAAAAACACAAAAAAAAAACGGAGAAGTGTGAAAATCCGGCGAGAGTATCTCCGGAAACAGAACTACCGGTGGGGAAGAACTGTCGCCGTCGGCGACGGAGGAGAGAGAGGGTTTAGTTTAGGGTTTTACGGGTCCAGCTACTATTACTAACATGGAGTTTAACGTTTTTGCCCCAACCTCCCCATATTATTTAATATTTCTAATTTGGCCCCATATTTAATTCCTGATTACTATCTTGGCCTGCATTTTATTTTTTTCATATTGGCCCCCAGAATTTTGGTTCGATCGATGATGTTAGGACACTAAGGAACTGAAAAAAAAAATCAACGATTTAATTAAAACAAGTGAGGGTTGTGGTTCGATCGATGAAAAGGTTGTGAGGAGGAAATCAATTTCGGACAGTACGGATGAAGATTATACAGATATGTTCAGTATGCAACATGCGTGCGTGCGTGTACATGCATGCATGTGTTTGTGAATGAATCGGATGTCAATTGGGTTGGGTTAACCCAACTCAACCCAATAATATTTGATTATGGATAAATCCATTTTGGTTAATTTTGTTAGATGGGTTTTAACCCATTTGGGCCATGGTTCTAATGGGTTTACCCATTTAAACGAATAAACCCATTTTACTTTTAATCTAAATGATTTAAATATATAAACAAATCAAATTCAAAAGGACTCGAATTAAACAAAATTATATTTAAAATTTTATATTCGAATATGAATTGAATCTGAATCAAACGAAATATGTAAAATCCAAATTTGAATCAAACGGAATTATATGTAATAATCGAATTCAAATCGAATCCGAATTGAATGGAATTATATTTAAAATCCAATTCGAAATGAATCCGAATTAAGCAAAATTATATTTAAAATCAAATTCTATTCAAATACGAATCGAACGTAATTTCATGTAAAAACCAAATCCAAATCAAACGGAATTATATATAAAAACCAAATTCGGATCGAACCCGAATCAAATGGAATTCTATATAAAATCAAATCCCAAACGAATAAGAACCAAACATAATTATATATAATAATTGAATTCAAATCGAATCTGAATTGAACGGAACTATATTTAAAAACGAATTCGAATCAAATACGAACTGAACATAATCATATATTTGAATTCGAATCAAACCAAATTCTATGTAAAAAGATAATATGAATTGAAACAAATCAAATCTAAATATGTTAATTAATAAATCAATTAAAAATAATGGGTTAGTTGAGTATAAATGGGTTATTTGGGTTAACCCAGCCTATTTGGTTTTTGAAGACATTATTAATGGTTTGGGTTTAATTCTAATAAACCAAATGGGTTGGTTAAGCCATTTTGGCAACCCTAGTCAACGACCAAAAGCAACCAAGTCAACTGATTTGTCACTTTATGATTGATGAAAGAATTTCTAAACCAAACAAAACAAGACAAAGACAAGGACAGGCGTTGACTGACTAGTCACTTGTTGACTCCGTGGACTTGGTAGTCGTGGAAATTAATGTGTGGTTCCAAAATCAGATCGAGATTATGATATGATGACGTTCTTCTCATATATATATATATATGTATGTATGTATGGTTTATTGTAGGCTGATCTGTTCGAGAGAAAAAAATAAAACAGACAGAACGGAGTAAGAAAGCAAAGATGGATATCAACCATACGGTGATTACGGTGGCTGAGGACGAGGATACCGCCTCGGGGTTGGACATGGCGGCCGAACAAATGATGAGCCTTCCATACTTGAGAGATTAAGGTCAACTGCTCAAGAAGGAGATATCGACAAATTCTACGGATTGCTCGATGAAGATCCGAACATTTTGGAGCGGTTTGATCAAGAACGTTTCTGCGAGACGCCCATGCACGTTGCCGCTCGAAACGGACATACCCATTTCGCCATGGAGATGATGAACTTGAAGCCTTCGTTTGCTCGGAAGCTGAACAAGTCCGGGTTTAGCCCCGTGCATCTGGCTTTGCAAAACGACTATTCTCGGACGGTGAGGGCGTTTATGGCGATGGAGAAAGACTTGATAAGCGTCAAAGGAAGAGAGATGATTACTCCTTTGCATCACGTAGCTAAGACCGGCGATACAGAATTGTTAAGCGAGTTCTTGTTCATTTGCCCTTCTTCTATCGAGGATCTAACGAGTAAATGCGAGACTGTCGTACACCTTGCTGTGAAGCATAGCAAGCTTGAGGCGTTCAAGGTTCTTTTAGGATGGCTGAAGCAGGTGAATAAGGAGGAAATCTTGAATTGGAAAGATGTAGATGGTAATACCGTCTTTCATATCGCTACATCTACAAACCAAATCAAGGTACATTTATATTTTGTTTCTTTGTAATTCTAGTTAGTTTATTGGGCTGATCTAATTTTTTGGGTGAACGTTTAAATCCAAAAGTGCAAACCACAACTTTTTTTGTTATATGTTGATTGTTTACAGGTTATGAAATTGTTGCGGAAAATCGTCAATGTGAATGTCAAGAACTTGGATGGACAGACTGCTAAGGACATATTCCAAAGCAATTGTGCTTCTCTCGGCCCCGAGATAGGCAAAATCCTCGGAGCTGCTAAAGCAAAAGCAGGACGTAAGCTTAATAGTTCGGCGACAACACTGGCAAACTACTTGAGCCAAAATCTTTCATTTATGGAGAAACGTAACAAGTTATTGGGTCTCAACAATCTGCTTGGTATTAACAAACAAGGATCTCGTAACACGAGCGATTTGAGGAGTTCGGTTCTTGTGGTGGCTATATTGATCGTAACAGCTACGTACCAAGCTACCATCAGTCCCCCGGGCGGCTATTGGCAAGACAGTACCACTGTATTCAACAATAATACTGTTCCAGAAAAAAACCACAAAGCTGGAGAGATGATTATGGATCCCTATAATGCAGTGTTATTCTATGGATTCAACGGAATAGCCTTCTTCTTCTCTACACGGGTGATCATGATTCTCATCATTGGACTCCCCATGTGGAAAACTATATACAGTTCCATTGTGGTTCTTGGAGTTGCTAGTTTTGCATCGCTTTATCCCACATTCCCTTTTACTGATGCCTATAGACTAGACATGAATTTACCAGGGTTTGTAATAATACTCAGATACCCGATAGTTACCGGGTTCGTGGTGTTTGTCCCTTATGTAGCATTCGTACGGAACGAACGTCGCCGGCAACAAGTGGACTTTCCGGTGAAGTATTTCAGCAAGTCTCCCGGCCCAACGTGGTGACAGCTTCTACCTTTTCTCCATCAAAAGCATTTTACGCTTTGAATCAGTTCCTGTTTGCTCTCGGAGCACAACTCTTCCTCTGTTTTTACGTTTTCTTTCTCGTGATTTATCTTTGTGCATGTTTTTATGTAAAAAATTTAAAATTAGAGATATGTGTATATGTGTGTGTGCGTATATATATATATTGTCGTAATTGTTTTTTGATAAAAAATATGATGGTTGTATTAATAGAATCATAAATCCGAAAGTTTGTGAGGAGGAAATCAATTTTGGACAATACGTATGCAGATTATACAGCTATGTTCATTATGCAACATGTGCGCGTGCGTGCATGCATGCATGCGTTCGTGAATGAGTCGGATGTCAATTGGGTTGGGTTAACCCAATAATATTTGATTATGGATAAATCCATTTGGTTAATTTTGTTAGATGGGTTTTAACCCATTTGGGCTATGGTTCTAATGGGTTTATCCATTTAACCCAATAAACCCATTTTACTTTTAATCTAAATGATTTAAATATATAAACAAATCAAATTCAAAATGAGTCTAATTAAACAAAATTATATTTAAAATTCGATTCGAAAAAGGATCGAACATAATTTTATATTCGAATATGAATTGAATCTGAATCAACCGAAATATGTAAAATCCAAATTTGAATCAAACGGAATTATATGTAATAATCGCATTCGAATAAATCCGAATTGAATGGAATTATATTTAAAATCAAATTCGAAATGAATCCCAATTAAGCAAAATTATATTTAAAATCGAATTCTATTCGAATACGAAACGGACATAATTCTATATTCGAATATGAATAGAACGGAATTTCATGTAAAAAACAATCCAAATCAAACGGAATTATATATAAAAACCAAATTCGATGAATCCGAATCAAACGAAATTCTATATGAAACGAAATCCGAAAGGAATAAGAACCAAACATAATTATATATAATAACTGAATTCGAATCGAATCTAAATGAACGGAATTATATTTAAAAATGAATTCGAATCGAATACGAACTGAACGTAATCATATATTTGAATTCGAATCGAACCAAGTCCTATGTAAAAACATAATATGAATTGAAACGAATCAAATCTAAAGTTGTCGGGTCTCAACAATATGCTTGGTAATAACAAACAAGGATCTCGGAACACGAGCGATTTGAGGAGTTCGGTTCTTGTGGTGGCTATATTGATCGTGACAACTACGTACCAAGCCACTCTTAGTCCTCCGGGTGGTTATTGGCAAGACAATACCACTGTATTCAACAATAACACTGCTTTAGGAGAAGAATACCACAGGGCCGGAGAGCTGACCATGAGTTCCGTCGATGCAGTGCTTTTCTATAGTTTTAACGGGACAGCTTTCTTCTCATCTATATGGGTGATCATGATTCTCATCATCGGACTCCCCATGTGGAAAACTATATACGGTTCCATTGTGCCTCTTGGAGTGGCTAGTTTTGCATCATTTTCTACCATATTCCCTTTTTTTGATACCTACTTGAATCTATCCGAGGTGGTAATAATTCTCGGATACCCAATAGTTACCGGGTTGATAGTATTTATCCCTTTCGTAGCATTCGTACGGAACGAACGTCGCCGGCGACGAGTGGACTTTCCGCGAGGTATTTCAGCATGTCTCCCGGCCCAACATGGTGAAAGCTTCTACCTGTTTTCGTCAAAAGCATTTCACATCCGGAATTAGTCCATGTTTGCTTATAAGAACATTTCTCTTTTGGGGTTTCATGCATAATTCATCCTCTGCATGCTTTCATGTATACAACAACAACACCGTCTTAATCTCAAGTATATTTGGGATCGGCCGCAAGACCTCAGTGATATTTACGTATTGTAGTTACTATACCGTTATAGCTATTTCCGTTTACAACGATCTTGAACATAATTCGAAACTATAGAGCTAAACAAATCATGCACTGCAGCAACATGAATTGCTAAACCAATGAGAAATTCTACAATTAAAAAATACCAACCGAAAAAAGATAAAGACTTTGTATATATATCATAAATGAAATATCGCAATAAAAAATATAAAATTTTTAAATGTGGTAAATAGATATATGAATTTTTAATTTTGTATCAAAATACATAAACTTTGAAACTTTTTACGTAAATCCACAAAAATACTAACCTCGATTGATTTTTTTTTTTTTGTGTGGATGGATGTAGGTGTATGGGAAAATTTTTATAGTTTGTATATTTTTATACAAATTTTTGTTAATTTATATATTTATTTATCAAATTTAAAAAATTGATGTTGACTTCAAAAGACAGAGATATACCTTAAAAAAATCGAATTCAAACAAAAAAGAAAAGACTGTGGCAAACAATTTTAACACTGATTATGGGCCAAGCCCATTCTTGCTTTACTGAGGCCCATGTTTATAGGCCCATGATGTTTCGACCGAACGAAATAATATTTCATATTGGAAAACAAATTGCATGAAAACATAAAACAAAAAATTCCAAATGATTTTTTTTTTCTGTGAAACGTTAATATTCCAATTTCTATTATTGGAGAGGCTGAATTAGATTATTGTATGGCCCAAAAAAATATATAGTAGGGCGTAAAAATATGCAATATGATCTATAATTAGATTTACTCAATTTGGATATTTTTATTCCAAAATATAATTTTTGTCAATTGATTCATTAGAGAATTTCTGGAATAAAAAAAGTTTCCATTTAGTTGTTATTGACACACAAACAAAAACACTAATGTATGCATATATATATATATATATATATAATTGTTTTATAGAAAATATTTTTTTTTTCGTGAAAAGTTGATAATTAAAATAAGTATTTTAGAACATATAAAAACATTTATAACATTTTATCTATACATAATTCTTTTAGGCCCTAATTTTTATTTTGGCACTATACGTCTCCACAATTTGAAACGATACTAGGACCGAATTTTCTCGTACGGAAAGGACAAAAGAGTGTATCTTAGTTTAATCTATAAAAAAACATTATAAAAATGGCTCCGACTCGGAAAAAAATCAAATTTCAAATATGAAAATTTATTATTACAAAAAAGTAAAGGTTTTTAAACTATAATAAAGGTTTTTTTAACTATTTATCTATGTACATTTTTTTTATCTCAATTTTTTATAATTTTGAAATTCGTCAAAATTTCGATTACATTTTTTAGAGAAACGGAAAAAATCAGATTAATATATTTTTTTAAGTGGAGACTCGAACCTAATTTGGAAATCGATATTGTATTATAAAATAATTGAATTGCCCTTCGGGGCAGGTCAGTTGGTTGGGAGCAGGGAGCAACTCCTTGAGGTGGGGGGTTCGAATCCTGCCGCCTCCCTTCCTCTGACATGTTCACCTATCAGCCTATCATAATGGGTTGATTTACATCCTACGCGTATGTTGCAGACTCGTACGCGTGGACTTGGGGTTTGACCCGCAGGCGCCTAATCCCCAACTATGGCCCGAGCGTTAGGCGCGTCTGGTGGCCAGGTCCGGATAGGGGACTGTTAGGCGGGGGTGGTGACCAGTTCATCTCCGTTTGTAAGGATAGTAGTCACGGAGTTCCCGATGTATCAAAAAAAAAAATTGAATTTAGGCTTAATAATGGAATATATATTGTTTTTTTTTTTGTAATATATAGCGTAATGACACATCACAATTCACAAAGAGTTGTATGTTATGACGCAAAGCAAGAAACTCACTTTAACGCTTGACGTCGAAGAAGCCCTTCGGACAACGACGCCATCTTCCCTTCATTCTTCACACAATCACCAACTCCCTTATTTTCATTCAAGTTTTTTTTAAAAATTTATTTAATAAATATAATTGTTGCATTGTACATATATGTAAAAAAAATAGATAACATTTAGGATACTAAAATCTAACTTCATATTCATAATCGTCGATTGGAGATATCCATTAAAAATAAAAATAATTTTGTAGTTTTAAATACATATGTGGGATAATTTTGTAATTTTTTTAAAAAAAGTATAGAATTTAAAGAATATTAAAAGGAATTTCATGATTTTTCCTAACTATTAAATATTTTTTTGATAATTATTTTGAATGTTTTATGTTTTCCATGATAAAATAAATTCAGTTTATTATTATTTTCAATTCATAGATCTGAATTTAATTTTTTTTTATGTACTCCATTCGATCGCGTGTAACAGAAAGATAATTTTATTTATTTCTAATATTGTTTGTTATATTTGCGGTATCAAAATAAAATTAACAATTTTAATTTCTTAATAAGTTTCCAGATGTAAATATTTTAAATTTTAATTTAAATACATTTGCTAAATTCATATCTTTATAGTTAATAAAATACGGCAATCTCATTTGTACATGAAACAAAACGTGAATCGAATTAATTGTATAATAATTCAACTTGGAAAAGAGGTAATGTTTTTAAACTTTGTTATCTGGGGATAAAATAATTACATTTTCATTTTAAAAACATTAAATAAATAGAAATAGATTGCGTCAAAGTCACCGTATTTGCAATCTCCTAAACCCTTCTCCATAAACTAATTAGGTTACAATAATTTTTTACATCCATAAAAGAAAAAGAATATCGAACATATTGTTTAATCCGAAATTTGTAAAATTATTTATATTGACAATATAAAATATAGTACTTCCTTGAATAAGAAATAAAAAATTTACAAATTTTTTTATTAGCCGTATAAAATCATTTGTTTGCAATTCCCAGAGCAATAAAATAATATTATGAAATAAAGACTACACATAAAATAATAGAATGGGCATAAGAAACAATAATTGCCATTCTTTATACCAACTTTTATAATCTCTTCCGAATTTTCCAATTATATTTTTAAATAGCAGAATCTATCTATCTAATAATATAGATAATTATTTTCTATAGAGGTGGCTATTTCGGTTATTAACCGAATAATCGAGCCGAACCGAACCGAATAAGACATAACCGTATTCGAACCGAACCCGACATCAAAATCGAATGGTTATGATTTTTTTAAACCCGAAAAACCGAAACCGAAATCGAACCGAAATGAATAAAAAATAACCGAAAAAACCGAGAGAATAATCGACAATTTCTTTAGAAAATTGAACTTTTTACCAAAACCAAACCGAATCCGAACCGAAAAATAACCGAACCGAACCGGAATTTATATAAAAACCGAAAGGTTATAGTTTTTCTATAACCGAAATAACCGAACCCGAATATAACCGAACCGAATCCGAACCGAAACCCGAATTGGTCACCCCTAATTTTCTAATAAAATGCAGTAGATAAATTATTTGCTTATAAATTCCCAAACTTTTTTTTTATTTTAGCTATAAATAAATTTAAGAAACAGTCCACTATAAATTTTACTTTATCATATACTATAATGGGGTTTTTTATTTAGTTTAATATACGTAATTTTACAATTTTGGTTTTCTTATTATGGAATTAATACAGAAAAAAGTTAAAAAAAAAATGGAATATATAATAGAATATTCGCAATGAATACACGGCAAAGATAATCGTGGTGCCTGACGTGGCTTCGCAATATCCCTTTTTAAAGATCACCCAAGCCGTAAAGCAACGAAAGACTCTCTCCGCTTCTTTTGTTCTAAGTTCTAATCCCAAGTTTTAAATTATTGGTTTAAGATTTTAATATTTATGTAAATTTAATTATTTTCCAATAAATTAAATGAATTTAATCTTTGATGTTGACCCCTTTATCCATTTGTTATCTTTTGTAATATAATATAACGATAGCGTGAAGAAATAAAATTAGTGTTGATCAAATGAGATTCAATTGCCTAATAAAAGTCCCAAACTAATAATTTTAATATTTGGTCCACTAAAATAATGTGTTATTATGCCAAATATTTGTTGTACAACATCCAACTACGAATCTATATTAAGTTATTAACCCCTAATATTAAACTCATTATATGGTCATGAATAATGTTACAAAATAACTTGCATGTAAGTTCTATGATAAGTCAATAAAGAAGAAAATAAATTATCATATTATATATCATTCAAATTTTATCCCCAATAGATTGTAATATAAATATTTAATATTAATAAGTTAAAAAAAATTAATTTGGTATTATCGTTAAAATATTTAATTAATTTTTAATTTGAGGTATCATTTTCCCTCTGATAAAATTAGTTTTTAGATCTATCATTATACACACACACAAATAAAATAAAATAAGGTCCATCCCCCACCAAGAAAACAATTTTAAATGCTATATTGTTCAGTCAATTTTAGCTCTACTTTTTTTAAAAAAAATAATGTTAGAATATGTCTAAGTTCAATGTTCAATGCTGCGATTTTTTTATTTTCTGCATGGTTTTTTAATTAAAGATTGAAGAAAAATGTTTTTGAATTAAATATACAGAATTAGATTATATGAAATATGAAAAAAATAGAGTGATAATACATTATACTTTAATGATGTTGACCGTGTCTCAAATTCACTTAAATGCACAGAAAAAAAAGGAGATTTCCTGTTCTTTCCAACTATATAATATATAATAGTATAAGTTTTAGATTAATAAACTCGAAATCTTATAGATTGTAATGAAAAATAACTTAAATTTTATTAAAATTATATTTTTTTTATTTGGTAAAAACAAAGCTAAATTCCCTGCATGGATGCAAGATGTCATCGGTTCACGTACACAAATTCGTACGGACTCAACCTTTTCTCAAAATTTCGAACCACAATTCTATAGAAAAAAAAAGGCCTAAATAAGTGTATAATGGGACTGTCCATTCAATTTATATTATTTTCATCTACCTAAATTAGTTTTCCACATTTTGCAATTTGTGTATATTTAGTTGTTTTAACTTTTAAGTAATGATCAATATCTTATATTTTAATTTAATTATTTTATAATTGGAGTTTCAAGTTCTAAAATAATAAATTAATCAATGTTATATTAAAATTTGATTTTTTGGATTTTTATTTAAATTTTGTTTTAATTTTATTTTTTTATTAAAAAAATATTTTGATAATTATTTTATATTCTTTTTAGTAGTTAAAAATTTCATCAAATTGATATTTTAATTTTAAATGAATTCTGTGTGAATACAATTATTTACTGTAAAATTTTAATCTTATAAGATCGAAATAAGATAGCGACTCTTATTATTATTTTTTTTAAAATGTGATTTTAGAAAATTACTTTTACTAGCAAACAAGGTGAGGTGGAGATTCGGGTCAGTTACTAATTTATGGATAATTAAAGATAATGACTAATTAATTAAATAGTTATCCAAAGGCGAGCAAAAGGGAAAGATTTTGCGCAAAAGGAAAATATATTTTGGTAAAATCCAAATAAATTTATGGGTAATAATTGTTGGTTAATATATTAAATTATTAAAATAATAAAGTGTCAATATCGGACCTCAAAATCTATTTAAATGCAGTTAAGACAAACCCTCTTCAGCTATCAATCATTCTCATCTTCTGATATTTTTCTTCTTCTTCTTTCATATTCTTCTGTATAATAAATCATTAAAAATAAAATAAAAATCAGAGAAAAGCCCAAAAAGTTTCCTTCTTTCTTGTTTTTGTTTTTTGTTTGTGTGTGTGTATGTTTTTTTTTTAATTTTCTCGGGTTTTGGTTGGTATAGATTCTCTTCTCTTTTGCTCGTGTCGTGATCGTGGGTATTGGTAACTGCACATTTGAGGTAAGCTGTTCATCCTTAGCTTCCCGTTTTCATCGGTTTTTCAGTAAAAAAATTTATGGGTTTGACGTTTTCTGCTAATCGAATGATGTTTTCCACTAAAGTTGGGTTTTTTTTTTCTGGGTTTTGTTCAAATTTCTTGCCGAATCGAAGGGCGAACAGCAAAATATCATTTTTTTTGGGGAGAATTATTGGTCTTGCTTATTTCGATTCTCACGGAGCGTTATCTCTTGTAAAAATTGCCCCTTTGATGACCCTTTTGCCCAGAAGTTGGTTTTCTTCTTGTGATTGACTTAATTAATTGGTTAGTTCCACGCTACCAAGCGACATAGTTCTGTTTTTTGTTTGATCCTTTGAATGGTCCTCTCCTCGTGTCATTAGCTCAATTATGATTTTGGCCCTCAGATTCTAATGTTTGATTTCGTAGTTTCTGCTTTTTTTGGGGCCATGGCTCAATCATATGACTGATGTGTTAGTCAACTTTTAGATTTTCGTCAAAAGTTGGAATTTTTGATGCCCCATTTGGTCGTCAAGTTGGTTTCTTGAGTATTTTAGCTTAATCACACCATTAATTCCATGGAAATCAAGCTAAAGTTCTGCATAAGTTCACTGATTAGCCTCCTTATGCTTTCACAAGTAGTGGGTTTTGCATCTGGTTTTGTCTTAATCCTTCACTAATCAAGCTTTCTTTCTATTGGTAAAGCCACTTTTGCAAAATGGTGGTTCATCCTTTTTCCCATCCTTTGTTTCTGTTGCTTCTACAATAACACTTCAGATGCTTCTTGTATCTGCGGCTGTGTAATCTTGATTCTGTTGATATGAAGGTTGAACCTTTAGAGATGATCAATGTATTTATCATGTGGCGTTTTCTCTGTGTTATTGTAGATCCAATGTCAATGTTATATCTATATATTGCTCTCTTGGTGAAGTAATGCGGTTTAATTTCGTGTATTTGGTATCCCATTAGAAAACTGTTCATTCTATTAACTCTTACTCTCTATGTGAAAGCACAGATTGAAGAAATAATCTGCTGATGGATATACCGAAAGAAACCGAGCCTCGTGGTTGGGGGATTCTCTCTGGAACTAGCCGCCACCGGGATGCTACTTTGTTCTCGAGCTCACTACCCGTCCTTCCCCATGAAAAATGTTCTTACCAATACTTTATCTGTTATAAATGCTATCCACCAGTTCTCGTTAGGCTGAATTCTTACGCAGATTTGGCTTATTTGCAGTGCAATTGAACGATGGTTTCCCGATGGTGGATGATAATGATCCTGCAGTTGGCTCAGATAAGTTTCATGAAAGTGCCGATGACATGCTGGGGGATACTGAACTTCATGCCATTGGCAACCTGCTTCCTGATGATGAAGATGACCTTTTGGCTGGGATAATGGATGATTTAGACCTGAGTGAGTTGCCCAGTACGTTGGATGATGTCGATGATTATGATCTTTTCGGTAGCGGAGGTGGGATGGAATTGGAGGGTGATGCACTAGAAAATTTGGCCATTGGTATGCCGAAAATACCGATTTCGAGGAGCCTCGGTGGAAATGGGATGCAGCATTACAGTCTTCAAAACGGTGTGGGAACGGTTGCTGGTGAGCATCCGTACGGTGAGCATCCCTCGAGAACGTTGTTTGTCCGGAATATTAACAGCAATGTCGAGGACTCCGAGCTCAAATCTCTCTTCGAGGTACTAAAAGAAAAAGACCCGAGACTCTGTTCCTCGTTTACTTGGACAGTCTCACCACAAAAACCACTGATGGTTTTTCTGTTTTCTGTGATTTGGGCAGCAATATGGCGACATCAGGACCCTGTATACTGCTTGTAAGCATAGGGGCTTTGTCATGATATCTTACTATGATATCCGTGCTGCTCGAACAGCTATGCGGGCATTACAAAACAAGCCTCTGCGAAGGAGAAAACTCGATATTCACTTCTCAATTCCTAAGGTTAGTATCATTTCTTAAAAATGTCAACTTCTTTTCCACATGCCATTCTGATTTGTTTTCTAGATATGCTGACTATTATGTTGTGCCTCATCTGTCTCACTTATAGGACAATCCATCTGAAAAAGATATGAATCAGGGGACATTGGTTGTTTTTAACCTGGATCCTTCAGTGTCAAATGATGACCTTCATCGAATTTTCGGTGCTCATGGCGAGATCAAAGAGGTGATAGAGATATTTTTCTTCTTTCCTTTTTGTTTTCCTGTGAACACATTGTGTGTTTTATATCCCATTGAGGCGGTTTTGCAAGAAAAAAGGCTAGCTTGTTAATTGCTATTTTCCTCCTGAAAACCCAGATAAGAGAAACACCGCGTAAGAGGCATCACAAATTCATCGAGTTTTACGACGTTAGAGCTGCCGAGGCGGCACTCAAGGCATTAAACAGGTGTGAGATTGCGGGAAAACGCATAAAAGTCGAACCCAGTCGCCCTGGAGGAGCTCGTCGAAAGTGCGTACCTTTCTATGATCAATCATATCGAAGATGATGCTCTTATCCTTTTCACTTGTGCAATCTTTTAAGTTTAGAATATTAATGGAAGGCGGCTAATGTTGTGTCTGACTTTCTATTCGATCTTTTCTAGCTTGATGTTGCAAATTAACCAAGACCTTGAACATGATGATTTGTATGGTTACCGACATCTGGTTGGCTCTCCCATTGCAAATTCTCCTCCAGGTGGGCATGTTGAATGTGTGTTTCATTGTTAATGATGTCATGTTGTGGTTGTTGTCTCGATGAGAAGCTAAAGATTATTTGCTGTCATGTCAGGTAACTGGTTACAATTGAACAGTCCTGTTGAATGCAGTCCGCTTCAAACCGTGCTGAGCAAATCACCGGTATTTGGGACCATAAGTCCTACAAGGAGCAGCCACTTGTCTGGATTGGCTTCGGTCCTAAATTCACAAGGGCCAAGCTCGAAGCTTGCTCCTATTGGCCGGGAGCAAGGGAAGTTTGGTCATATTGGGAGCAACGTGTTCCAACAGTCCCATTTGTTTCAAGACCCGAAGTTGGATCAGTACACTGGAAATGTTTCGTCTGCTGGCTCTTCAACGTCAAATGGGGGTGGTATCGAAACATTATCTGGGTCAGAATTTCTGTGGGGAAGCCCTAACTCACACTCTGAACTTTCAAATTCCTCAGTATGGTCAAAATCTTCTATAGGGAATCCATTCTCTGACAGTAAAGGTCATGGCTTTCCATACTCATCTCAACTAGAATGGTCTGTTGCATCTCCGCATCAGCATCACAGCCATTGTCTCCATGTCGGGTCTGCACCATCTGGTGTTCCTCTGGAAAAGCATTTTGGATTCTTTCCAGAGACTTCGAGAGATACTTTGTTCATGAACACCGTTGGTTATCAAGGAACTGGAAACGTGGGTCTTAACGGTGTAAGTTTCCCGTCTAAACTGGCAAATCACGGGATTGTGAACCCAAGAAGCATGGCCGATAATGGGTTTTCGAGTTACAGAATGATTTCGTCTCCAAGACCAAGTCCTGTCCTGTTAAGCAGTAGTGGTCTTCACCCTGGAAGGTTCCCCACAGGCTTTGAGGGCTTCTCTGAAAACGGAAGGCCGAGAAGAACTGAGAGTAATGGCAGCCAGGTAGAAAGCAGGAAGCAATTTCAACTTGATTTGGAGAAAATTATTCGCGGAGAGGATACTCGGACTACCTTGATGATAAAAAACATCCCGAATAAGTAAGCTTTTTACAACGATTTTTTGGTGAAATATGGTGTAAAGTTTACAGATTTGGTATAGCTTGTTCCTTATCGAAACTTTTCACTGCCATTGTCAACAGATACACATCAAAGATGTTGCTTGCAGCTATCGACGAAAAGAACAAAGGAACTTACGACTTCCTTTATTTGCCAATAGATTTTAAGGTATGCTGGTTTCTGACTCGTAGAAAACTCAAAATCTTTGGTTCTTGACTGAGTTTTCAACCCATTTTTGTTTGCAGAACAAATGCAACGTGGGCTATGCTTTCATCAACATGCTCTCTCCAAATCTCATTATCCCATTCTATGAGGTCTTGTTCTTGAAGCATTGATTGAACAATGCCATTCAGTCCGGACTGGAGATTTGACTAAATGCTTTTGGATTCACTTGCAGGGTTTTAACGGGAAGAAATGGGAGAAGTTTAACAGTGAGAAAGTAGCTTCGTTGGCATACGCTCGGATACAGGGGAAAACTGCCCTGATAGCTCACTTTCAGAACTCGAGCTTGATGAATGAAGACATGCGTTGTCGTCCCATTATCTTCGATATCCCTAACGGTTCAGAGTCTAACGAACAGGTAAAATTCTTTTTCGGGCCACATTTCTCGATTTCGAAAAATACCCGAGAGAGAGCATAGCCCAAAAGAACCAAAAAGATCTGAATTTGATGACCCTACTCCTATCCCCACACTATTAAAATTGGCTGTTTTGTGTTTTCTCTGTTTCAGGGAGATTCCCTCATCTCTCAGACCAAAGACACTGTTGATGATGAGAGAGACGAGAGCTAACATTAGAGAAGAACACCGGCTGAAACATTCTGTGTTCTTTCTGTCCTGTTTTTTTTTCCCTCTTGTTCCTGGTCCAAACGTATACATGGAGGGCCAGAACTTTGAGTTTTTATTAGTATCAAGCTGCAGCAAAACGGTCTGAAAGCACCCAGTTTTTGTTGGGTGTGTTATGTTTCATTCTATGTTGTAGCTCTTTCGTGACTTTGTGCAAAAATGCCCTTTGCAATTTGTACAGTTGAGTTAACAAAAAAGTCTCAGCCTCTACCTTTCTTTTCTTGCAAAGTTTGATCCTTTTTGAATAATTATGTAAAAATCTCAATTGCCCAGCAAAAGATTTTGTGAATTAATGCAGAATTTGAGACTTGACTGTGAAGAGATTGGAGAATTTCAACGAATCTCGTAATCTTGTTGCAAAACTTGGATGAAACAATCATCCATCTAGATGAAATACTTTGTCCAATCATATTATCGTATTTCATAACTTAAAACATTATTATTCTTCAACTTTTAAAAAAATAAACTTTGAATTGTTCAAAATATAAATACAATATTGAATATTATATTGTATAACAATATTGTATTTATTTATGCGTAAATATATTTATGTATAAATTACAATTACCTTGGACTAGTTAAAAAGGTCGTTATCAGTTGTTTATCTTGATCGTAAATTTTAAAATGGTGGACCAATTATATTCAACATCATCAGTTGTTTGTTTTTAATTTAGTGGTTAATAATTCGATATTATTTTTTTGGTAAAAGGTGTAATTGTATTTTTATATGAGCAAGTACTACAAAGAGTTTAATTAACCTACATAAGTTTAATGATCAAGAAACCGAAAGACTTACAAATATAGTTCGTAGTTTGATATTATTGATATGCTCATTTTTTTAGATTTGACTTTGGTATTAATAGATTTTTATGAATGTGACTTGAAGATTATGAGATAATTTGACTTACTATGAACTGTGATAAGATTAAATTTAAATATAATCATATATTATTATCGTATTATTGAAATATTATCATTATTCAACTTCTAAAAATATGAATTGTTAAATATTCAAAGTTTTAGCCATATACAAATATAATATTGTTAATTCATCAAATGACTAATAACGTTGATAATTTAGCATAAACAAACACTAAACTCTGAAGCATATTCTCCAGTTTCGAATATATTTAATTTGAATGGTGAATTACAAATGCTGCAAAAAAACGTGAAATACGGATGAAGATGACGTGATCATGTGGGCTCTGGTTGCGTCTACCGACTATAGTCGACAATATACACAAAGCTCCACATAGCAAAACGAATATAGCCCATAGTGGTATCATCGTCTGGTCATCAGATCTCACCGTATGTACCAGAATAACAAACTGGATTACGGTGTTTAGGATGACCAAATATCGGTCATGCATACCGGAAGTATATCTATAAAAAAATGAAACAAATTTTACATAACTTTTCGTCATATTTAGTTGCATTTTTTGTGATGAAACTTTATATTGCAAGTAATACTAAATTTTAAAAATTATAAATAATTAATTATTTTTTTAAATATCATTTTTGTCAATTTTATACTCAATAATTTTAATAAATATTAGGGATAACCTAAAAAAAACTTAGTAGTTTTAAATTTTTAAAAAATCTAGTTTTCATTAATTATATTAGACAATCAAATATGTATTTAAATTAAAAAAACAACCTTTAAATTTATTTTGGTTTAAGATGAGGTAGCATATAAAATAATATCATTTAAAAAAAATGAAGAGCGGGTGTTACAAGATGTCCATAATTTAGTTTCCATCTAACTATTTTATGTTTATTTTAATTTTAAACCATCTGTAGGTTTTATTTTACATCAATTAAGTATACAATAAAATTATTTAAACATCATAATGATTATCGTGCAAAAAAGTAATATAAGTAAGATGAAATGTTAAAAACTATGCAAATGAAATATTCTGTCCAATCATCCATCTAGATGTATATCAAGTTATTCTCTATTTATATTATCATATTTTATAACTTGAAACATTATTATTTTTCAACTTCTAAAAAATTAAACTTTGAATTGCTCAAAATATAAATACAATATTGAATATTATATTGTATAACAATATTATATTTATTTATGTGTAAATATATTTATGTATGAATTACAATTACCTTGGACTAGCGTTATCATTTGCTTATCTTCATCGTAAATCTTAAAATGGTGCATCAATTATATTCAACATCATCAGTTGTTTGTCATTTGTTTTTAATTCAGTGGTTATTAGTTTGATATTATTTTTTTTAGTAAAAGATGTAATTGTAGTTTTATATGAGCAAATATTATAAGAGTTTAATTAACCTACATAGGTTAATGATAAAAAACCTAAAAGACTTACAAATATAGTTCGTAGTTTGATATTATTGATATGCTCATTTGTTATATTTGACTTTGATATTAGTATATTTTTTTGAATGTTACTTAAAAATTATGAGATAATTTGATTTTAGTATTATGAATTGTGATAAGATTAAATTTAAATATAATCATATATTATTATCGTATTGTTGAAATATTATCATTATTCAACTTCTAAAAAAATGAATTGTTCAATATTCAAAGTTTTATTAATATACAAATACAATATTGTTAATTCATCAAAAGATTAATAACGTTGATAAATTATCATAAGCAAACACTAAACTCTAAAGTATATTCGTTAGTTTCGAATATATTTGATTTGAATGGTGAATTATTGGTGGTACTTAGATAAAATAGAATGGATTACAAAATTATCATTGCTTTGTCAAAGATTTTGTTTTAAACCAATTAAGTTATACAATAAAAATATTTAAATAACATAATAGTTATCGTGCACAAAAAATAATAGAAGAAAGATGAAATGTTAGAAATCATACAACTGATATATTATATCAAACTATTTATCTAAATGTATATCAAGTCATTCTCTAGTTATATTATCATATTTCATAACTTGAAACAATATTATCTTGAACTTCTAAAAAAAATAAATTTTGAATTGTTCAAAATATAAATACAATATTAAATATTATATCGTATAGCAATATTGAATATCATCATCCAGTAATTGTAAATTTTTTCATGCAATGATAAACAAAGAATATGTGTATGGCCAAATTTGTATGGTCGCGACGTGAAATTTTAAGCATTAAAATTACAGTTTCACAATCTATAAATCATTTAGTTCTAATGCTTATATATATATATATATGTGTGTGTTATTAAATTAAAAGTTTTTGTAATCAAATTGGTAAAATATACTCTAAAAAATGAGTTGTTGATGATGGAGAATTAGCTATATACATAGTTAAATATAAAAAGTTAGTGAAATGTTCAATAATCAAGGGAACCGATTTAGGAAGATAGAGAGTGACAAGTCCATGTCAATTTGTATTCACTGACCAAATATAAAAACTTGACGATTAGACACATTCTCTTTGACCATTTCGGCTTTGTGATTTACCAAAAAATCCTCGTAAGAATACTTTATATTCAGGTAGATTTTACATCGATCTCAATGTACATAGATCTGATTTTGATATCCAAATCTTGAAATTGCTTAAATCTTCTGGAAAAACAAACAAGGAAAGAGAAGAACTTGTAAGAAATGAGACAAAAAAAACAAATGGATCCTCAGTCCGAAGAAGACATCAAACGAAGATTGAACCAGAACGGTGTATTGGACATAAGACTCGAAAACGGTGTTCTTCAGATACCGAGAATAGCAGCCAACAATTTCTTCATCTCGATCTTGCAAAACTTTGTCGTCTTCGAGCAGGTCTATGCGCATACTTCCGAGCATATCACGAGCTACGTTATATTCCTGAGAAGCCTGATAATCGAGGAGGACGATGAGACGGTACAAAAGCAGAGATTTATACTGTCGAACTATCTGATAACGGGGGACGAGATCTCGCAATTCATGAAGAGTATCAGCCAAGACATTAGGCTCAACATAGAGGATTGCTACCTGTTCACAGTGTTTGAAGAAGTTACAACGTACACCTTCTTTCGGCGGAGAGCAAAATGGGCAAAATTCAAGCATGATTACCTTTAGGTCCCGTGATTGTTCCTTATCGACAGTTTACAGATTTGGTATAGTTTGTTCCTTATCGAAACTTTTCGCTGCCATTGTCAACAGATACACATCAAAGATGTTGCTTCCAGCTATCGACGAAAAGAACAAAAAGGAACTTACTACTTAACTTCCTTTATTTTCCAATAGATTTTAAGGTATGCCGGTTTATGACTCGTAGAAAACTCAAAATCTTTGGTTCTTGACTGAGTTTTAAACCCATTTTTGTTCGCAGAACAAATGCAACTTGGGCTATGCTTTCATCACCATGCTCTCTCCAAATCTCATTATCCCATTCTATGAGGTCTTGTCCTTGAAGCATTGATTGAACAATGCCATTCAGTCCAAACATGAGATTTGCCTAAATGCTTCTGGATTCATTTGCAGGATTTTAACGGGAAGAAATGGAAGAAGTTTAACAGTGAGAAAGTAGCTTCGTTGGCATATGCTCGGATACAGGGGAAAACTGCCCTGATAGCTCACTTTCAGAACTCGAGCTTGATGAATGAAGACATGCGTTGTCGTCCCATTATCTTCGATATCCATAACGGTTCCGAGTCTAATGAACAGGTAAAATTCTTTTTCGGGCCATATTTCACGATTTCGAATATAGCCCAAAAGAATAAAAAAGGTCTGAATTTGATGACCCTACTCCTATCCCCACACTATTAAAATTGGCTGTTTTGTGTTTTCTCTGTGACTTTCAGGGAGATTCCCTCATCTCTCAGACCAAAGACACTGCTGATGATGGGAGAGACGAGAGCTAACACTAGAGAAGAACACCGGCTGAAACATTCTGTGTTCTTTCTGTCTTGTTTTTTTTTCCCTCTTGTTCCTGGTCCAAACGTATACATGGAGGGCCAGAACTTTGAGTTTTTATTAGTACTAAGCTGCAGCAAAACGGTTTGAAAGCACCCAGTTTTTGTTGGGTGTGTTATGTTTCATTCTATGTTGTAGCTCTTTCGTGACTTTGTGCAAAAATGCCCTTTGCAATTTGTACAGTTGAGTTAACAAAAAAGTCTCAGCCTTTACCTTTCTTTTCTTGAAAAGCTTGATCCTTTTTGTATAATTATGTAAAAATCTCAATTGCCCAGAAAAAGATTTTGTTAATTAATGCAGGATTTGAGATTTGACTGTGAAGAGATTGGAGAATTTCGATGAATCTTGTTGTAAAACTTGGATGAAACAGAGAGGATCCCAGACTAGAACTATAAATGGAAACAGAACAAAAACAGAAAAGGAAACTGATTCTGTCTCTGCAAGTAATCAGCGCATTACGAGTAGATACCAGTCAGATCCAGGTGAGTCCTCTTCCTCCAACTCCCAGCTCGTGTTCCATTGCCTGCCCATCTCCTCTTCCACCTCTCCCTTCCTGAACTCTTCGATCTCAGACCCGAACTCCGAAAACAAAGGAGAAGCTCTCTTCAATCCCTCGATCTTCGGCTTGAACTCCTCCAAGAAATTCTTACACTCCCGGATACGGCAGTCCATTTTCTCGAGCGAATCTTCGTTCGTGTCAGCCATAATCTCCTTCAGAAGGGCTAAGAGCCACTGAATCTTGTGAAATCCTCCATTAAACCCGTTTAAAAGCTCCTGAAACTCTTCTTCTGACAACGTCAACGGCGTGACCGATAACTTGTCGTCGCTCCCTTTCTTCTTCTTCTTCTTCCGTTTCATCATCTCCAACGAGAAACTGGCCCCGATCCGGGAAAAGGCCGACACTTTCCTCGTCATGATTCGATCTCCCGACCCTTTTGGTGACCAGAAAAACCAGAGAAAACCTCCGAATCTCTCCATCATACGCAAGTTTCTGCTGCCGAAAACTGCGAGCAGAGATTCGACTAACATGTGAGAAATCTCGGCTCCGAGATCATCCGTTTTCTGCATTCTCTCCTTCAGCTTCCAGAGCATATCTTTCTTCTCCCACCATCCTGTCGAGACGGCGCCTCCGGACCCAGAAGTTGCAGTGAAGGATTCTTCGTCTGAACTCATGAATTTCGACAGAGAAAAGATGGAGAAGAAGAGGAAAGATATAAAAACTTGACGATTAGACACATTCTCTTTGACCATTTCGGCTTTGTGATTTACCAAAAAATCCTCGTAAGAATACTAAGATTTATAGAGCAGAGATGGTGATTCCGATCTCTGGAAGGATTTGGAGATCTTTCTTGGATTGCAAGTAATCCTCCTTTAGCCACTCAAATTTCCATTTTTTTTAGTAACCCTCTGTAAAGAAAATTAAAATAATGGAAATTTTAAGAAAATAGAAAAAGGAAATATTTTTTAAAAAATTCAAAAAATGAAAAATAAAACAATTACTGATTAATGGGTTTTGTTTTTTTTATTTCATAATTACGTAATTACATGCTCGAGTGACAGCGGGTTATTTAGTGGTGCTGACGTGGATAATATCCTATGTGGTAGATTAGCAGTTGGAGGTGAAACCAACGGTGGAGATTTGGCCGGAGCGATTTCATCGTTACAGAATCCGTTATACTGACTTTCGCTTCAGCATCGGCGGAGAAGACGAAGATGGCGAGTCTCTGTCTCTCATCGTCACTTGCTCTCTCTCTTCGCCTCCCTAATCGCAGCATCAATCCGTTTCTCTCTCTAAATTCTCGGCTTCTTTCGCCGGAGGTCTCCGTTTTCCGTCGTGATTTGGGCTCTGTTTGCTTCAAGCCGTTGAGGTGAGAGAAAACATACCGCGTGATTTCGAATGGCGGTGACTCTGATTCTTCCTCTCGAGTGGTGTTATTCTTTATCTCTTTGGAATTTTCTTAGAGTATCGGTCGATCGTCTGCGTATGGCGATGGCGAGGGTGGAGAAGCGGAGGAGGGGATCGAGTGTAGTCTGCTATGCTGCGCCTCTGAGTCTTGGTAATCTGCAGTGGATCTCGACCATCTCTTCGATGTATGGTCACTTTTCTCTCTCTGATTGTAGATTTGAACGCAGAACGCTAATGGGTGGTGTATAAATGAAGCGATGATTGACAGCTGAGTTTTCTGTTTGTCAAATTTGAAATTATTCGAAATTGGCTTTATTACACAGTCATGTTCTTAGAGATTTGTTTGGGCCTCTCTCCTGTTCCTTTGGATATCAACAGCTGAGTTGAAATACTGAAGGAATTTCTTGCATTTGAGAAAATTGGACAAGTTCATGTTTCAGGCTTGCAGATTACGTCTGTAATGAACGATGATGATGAACTCAAAGATATTCTGTCAGCTCACTCATGTTTTGCTTCTGGGTAAAAAGGGAAATCTTGACAAAGAGAAATGGTTATTTGTGATTTTAGGTTGCCAAATCATAGTTCTTATGTACATTTGTTTGCCTCGATTCCTAAATTTCTATGTGGTTTGGAGCGACTAATGTTTGTTTTTTCCTTTCTCTATTTAGTCTACTTTTGCTTTCGAAGGGCACCGGTATCAAGAAGTCATTCCTTGTTCCTCTATTCGCCCTACAAGCACCCACGAGCGTTATTTCCTGGATGAAGTAAGCTTCTTGTTTGCGATAATATATTGCCTTTGGAAGTTTCGGTCGCTTCTGTCTTCACAGTAGTTTTATTTTGGTCATCCTAAATTTATACGTCTCCTCCTTCTCTACGAGAGTGTGTGCAAGTGCTTATTTGTCTGTCTTGAAGGTCATTGATCTTGTTCATCTGATTTGCAGGGGTGAATACGGCATCTGGGCTGCATTCCTTGCACTTCTTGTTCGATTGTTTTTCTTTATTCCAGGTAGATTTTTATCTTCAAGAAGCATGTGCAAGGAATGCTATGAATTGGGTTAAATATTTGTGTGTTGAAATTGATGGTACTTAAATCTAAATAGGCCTCGGTTCCCTGTTCTTTGTTACACAACCGGGGAGAAACACAAGAATGTGCAGTCACTTTCATCTCATGTAAGCAGAAGATTACCTGTTTTCCCTTCCAGGGTATAGGACTTTTAGGCCTTTACTAACTACCGCAAACTTCAGACAAGAGGTTAAGTTGTGGTGTTGTAATTTAATGATGCGTTGTGCTTTGTGTTGCTATGCAATTGGCATGCTGGTTTTTGAGAACTTGTGTTATCAGAACCCGGCAATTTTCTGTTACCAACATCAATTTGTGGGCAGGATTCATGCATGTATTCACCAGGTCTTGAAATTGCAAAACTTTATTCCGGTAAGTATCAATTTGCAACTCTGTTGTGGTTACCTTGTTGTTTGCAGGTGAGCTTGAACTGCCATTTGTTGCACTGCTCTTGGTGATTGTGGCGCCTTACCAAGTTACAAACTTAAGGTTAGAGGATGTCTTGTTCAAGATCATATGGATCTTCGTTTCTTTTTCTTTTCCTGGGTTTAGACTCACTAATATCATGTACTGGCAGAGGAAAACAAGAAGGAGCAATCCTTTCTTTGGTAATCGCCGGGTTTCTGGCTTTCCAACACTTCTCACGAGTTGGCAGCTTGCAGAAAGCATTTGACCAGGGCTCGATTCTTGCCACTTTAGGAATCATTTGTCTCACAGTTGTATCATTCCTCTTCTTGATGTGAAGACCCTCTTGAACAATCAGAAGGTTATCTCTAAATCACTACAATAATGTGCACAGAGAGACAAGAAATAAAAACAGTATGCTGTAAGTATAGTTTCTTGTGATCACATCTCAGGTCTGTGTGCTGTCTTTAAGAATATGTTACCCATAGATCATTGCTTATGGAGCCAGAGTTTGGAATGAAAGTTCATCACAAGAGAATCTGCAAGGGCAGAGCTAAGGTACATTACTACATTATGCCTAATGCTTTTGCAATAATTTAATATATATATATATATGGTAAACTAATATGCTTCCATGATGAATAATGTGGCAAGAGAACAGATGAGTGTATGTATTAAATCTAAATATGATTTCTAGTATGTACATTACTTCATCTTTATTTCAAACTTATTAGAGATTGAGGGCTTATGTTTGAAGATTAAATTTAGATACTATTAAAGACAATCATAAGGTGGTATGATGTTATTATATTTTATTTTGTATGTAGAGATTTGATTCTATTTTTGTATAACCCGTGAATTATAATAATATTTCCTTTTTCCATGAAATACGAGAGGTTATATAATATTAGTTCCATGTTTATCCTAATGTAAAGCATCAAGCTATTAGATTAAGCGTCCTGTTATCTCAAAGGCAAACATGATTTGCTCTTCTTACCTGAGTGCTTAAAAAGAGTATAAGTATAACACTATCAAATCATTTAATTAATTAAGCTTTGATACAAATATAATGATATTTACCTGATTATTTTTTTTATATTAATAGTTATGAATGGTTTCATTCACATTAACTAATATATGACACCTATAATTAAAGTGTGTGTATTTTTTGTCAAATCTATTTTGGAGTATCACCATCGAGGCTTTGAAGTTATTTAATATTTAAATCATGACAAGAATAAGACATTCTATTCTAATCCATAAAAAGTGGTGTCAATCGAGTCGGTCCGGCCTGATCCGAGTCTTCCTTTAGTCCAAAGGTTTTGAGTTTGAGTCGGTTCGATTTTATTCGGGTCTAAACAACTAAGCTCAAAGTTACGATCCTATAAACTTCGGACTCACGTGCAAGACGGAGTTGGTCCGTTTATAAACCGATTTTTTTAATTTTTTATTTTTTTTAAAAAAAAAATCGGACTTTCGGACCGATCCGAAACCTTAAACCTGACCCAAAAACTCGAATTTTGTCGGCCCGATATATTTAAACCCGACACCCAATTTTTTGTTGGGGTGGATTCGAACCGGGCTTCCAAATTCAAACCAAAATTGATATCCTACGTGGAACTAAGTGTCTGGTTCTAATGTGAACTCGAACCAAGTCAATGTTTGATGGCTACGTGCAGCTTGAGTAAAATTGGATAATTTCATTTTATGATAAAATTTTTTTGGGTGAAATTTTGATAATTTTATATATAATATAAGACACTAAATTATATCACTGGGAATTAGGATATCATATGATTAGTTTATATTGGTAAAAAGGTGATAATACGTTGTGTCTGCAATTTTTATTAAAAAAAATATCGATAAAAAATTGGGATATAAAAATCTATTGTAAGCAAAATTTATATATTAAAATATATACAAAGTTTTAGATATTAAAATTATGTAATAAAAAATAATATAGATATTAAATTATAATTCCATAAAGTTTATTATAAATGTAATTATATTTAATTTTTCTTACATTTCTCTATCAATTTAAGATAATCTTATCTATTGAAAAATGCGAGTTTTTTTTATAATCATCGTCTTATTATCTTATAATTTTAATTATATTATTTGGATTTTGACGAAATAAATTGTTTCTCTAATTATATTATATGTTTTTTACACATTTAGCGTTTATATGATAAGCTCTATTATCTCTTTTACGATATTTTATCCCCTTTTTATAAATCTACCTCGCATTATTCATAAATATTTCTCAATTTTAAACCAAAAAAAAAATATTTCTCAATTTGGAAACCAGGCTTTGAAAACTGCTCACAAAAAAAAAAAAAGAATTTGAAACGGTGCGACGTCTCACAACAAGAAAAGGACTGTCTGCCGTTTTAGCAATGCAGTAACGAAAATTGCGCTGTTTAAACAGACAAATCGGAGAGGGTTTTCCCTTTCACCAAAGGGAAAGACAAAAAAAACGAGAGGGTTTTCCGACAGAGATATAATCTTCTTTCTGCATCTTCTTCCTCCTTTCTCTGCTTTCTTCTTTTGTTGCGGCAGAGAAGCCACGCAGCTGCGTCGTTTTTGTTCAGATCTCTGTGTGTGTGTGTGAGAGAGAAAGAGAGTTATCGCGGTGGAGAAGATGAGCAGCAAGGTCGGCGGTGGCGGTGTAAGTGTCGGAGGGAGGAAGGGCAATAATGGAGTTTCGAATATCCCGTCGGGGTCGAGGAAGATGGTTCAGAGCTTGAAGGAAATCGTGAACTTTCCCGAAGCCGAGATCTACGCCATGCTCAAGGAGTGCAACATGGATCCTAACGAAGCCATCAATCGTCTCCTCTCCCAAGGTTTCTCGTTTTTCTTTGATTTCTCGCGTTCGATCTTTTGTGGGTCTTGTGTGTTTTGCTGTTGAGGAAGTGAGTGGGAGATTTTATGGCAGTGAAATTAGGGTTCGCTTGTTACTGATACTGAGATTAACTGGTGTCTGAGAGGTTTGGATTAGGGTTTTGGGGTTGAGTTTTTTATTCAGGTACCCTAAAGTTTTGTTTTTTTTTGCGCAATTTTTTGGCTGCTTTGAAGCATTGAATTCTTCGTGTCCAGATTCAAAATTGGCCCTCTTTTTGTTATTTGCTTTGGTTGATCTTTTCTTGCAGCTGGTGAGACGTTTGATGGTGTCACAGTAGCTTCTAACTTAGTCTTGTTGTTTAGAAATATGCCCGTAACCCTCTTGGAGCTACCGCTTGCGTGACATTAGAAGAGCAAAGGGTGCAATGTTTAGGGTTTGCTGAACATGTTGGCTAGGTCATAGCCGACAGCTGCAGCTGACACAGTCACGTCATGATCACGCATAACGTGTTGATGTCTGGCATGTTGATTTTATGGATGTGATCTAATCTCTCTTATTGATACAGCTTTATATATAGATATGGATCTGCCCGGTGTTCTTGTTATCGCCTTGTTTAAATACTGGATTGTTCGTGGTGATGCTGCTATATTTGTTTCTGATGTCATTAACTGCTGGGATTTTGCATCCCTATTATGCTAATGTGTTGCCTATCTATTTTCAGAAAAAAAAAAAGCACATTGGTCTATCGTGTGGACATATGTGCTAGTAAGACACCATTCTGAGGCCAGTATTAGCACGGCGCTTTCACCCACACTAAGTTTGTCAAAAATTCGATCTTGTATTTCTAAGATCGGATTTTAGACAAACGTCTCATAAATGGTGTATTACTAGCACATAGGTCCACACGATAGAACCTATGTGCATGTTTTGGGATCTCAAGTTTGGTGCTATTCTTTCTTTGCTGGAGGGCACTACACTTTGTTATAGATGGTGTTGCCTTCATGATGTTAACATTTGTTCATTCATTACGCAGATCCTTTTCATGAAGTTAAGAGCAAAAAGGACAAAAAGAAAGAGGTGAGTCAATGCTGAAAGTCTCATTAATCTGTTTAGCATATAGATCAAGGAACATCTCTTTGAGCCTTTGGTTGCTAATACTAACATTTTTAATTGGAAATGCAATAATCTATCTGCAATTCTGCATCATCTGCATATATTTTTTGTGCCCATACCAAACAATTTCTATCATCATCTAGCTTCTAATCTACTTTATGTTATAATCCGATAAATTTTCTGCTAGAAGCCTAGAACTTCTGTGTTAAGCTCGCAAATTCTCAACTGGCTTCAAATTATGTTAAAGATGTGATAGAACCCACCCACCCATCCATAATGAGCCCAACTAAGTCTCAAAGCCCATGGGTAGAACTCTCCCCAAAGGCTAGCTTGTTGGGAGAGGGTGCCCATGGTCTTATATACACTCAATTGTCCCCACATATTTCAGATGTGGGACTCTAACAAGATGCCGTGTGATTCTTCTTTTTTATCTCTGAAGACTGCTAATGCCTTTAAATTCCATAGTTTTAAGCTGTTTTCATATTATTCGTGTTTTTCCCTGCTTGCAGTGTTTTGTATATGCCGCTGGTATCAAATGATTTCTGCATTTAGCTAGCCTCTAATGTTCGTTCATTTTTTATTGAAATCTTTGTGATTTTCCAACTTTCCATTTTGTTCAGAATAAGGATACAACAGACTCCCGGGCACGTGGTGCTAATAACACTTATAACCGCGGGGTTAGAGGTGGTTCTGATCGTTATGCTGGACGAGGTGGTGCGACACATTTCAGCTCTAACGGTATAAACCTGATGACTTTTGAGCTGTTGGAGAAAAAAGGGATCAGGAAGTTTACTAGTTTTCACTAAAGGATTCATGCTTTTCTATTGTTTAGAATCTCGGAATTTCCAAGGAAAATCGACGAACAAGAAAGAAAATGTAACACAGGGTTATGCATGGCCTACATCATCTGCCTCTGGGGTAGAGGGACGCCATCAGCCATTGCACAGGTTTTCCTTCTAGTGATTCTCTTTCTTTTTTGTCAGTTATTTTTAATTCAATTGGACAAATCGGTGGCAAGTTAATCTGGGTTTTAAAAAGTATGCTTACGCGCTTTTGGCTGGGTGTGCTGATTGGCGCCTCCAGACCTGGGGGCGATGTGAAGTTCCAGAGGCGGCCCTAGGCACACCTCATGCTTTTTAAAACTTAGAGTTTATGTGCTTCATCAGACTAGTATTAGAGTGTCAAAACTTAAATGTACTGTAGATTTTATTTCAGACTTCTCCTGGCCATTAATTAATGGTTGTAACTTGTAACAGTAGTAAGATCCATTTGGTGAGACCTCTGGATTTCTGAAGATCATAGACTTCTATTTTTCAAATGTTACCGCCAAAGGTTAAGATGACAAGATCCTTTGGCTTGATCTGTATCCTAAGCTGAACAAAAAACCTCAGTTGTCTCCACCATGTAATGAGGGGTTGGAATGTTTATACGACTTAGAGGTTTGGAGGTTGAACGTTAGATATAAGCTGCAGCTTCATTGTGAATCTTTAACTTTCTTATGATGCTTGAAAGTTCTATGCTTATCTTATGCCAAGCCTCTGTACATAATTAATGTTAAGTTTTTTTAGAATTAATGAAAATATTTGCATGCTTTGCAAGGAGTCTTGGCATTTATTAAGGTAAATATGGTCGTAGTGTTGGAATTTTGGATTTCTGTCTTCAAAGTGTTCCGTTAGACCTTACTTTGCCTAATTCAACATTGCTATTCTGTGGCATTTGCTATTTCTTTTTCCTGCAGAACTATCTTTTGTGCATTTTTCCATCTCAGTTGCAGGTAGCTCATGTTCATTGCATATTTTTGCAGTGATTTTGTTGCCATGGAAAATAAAATGCTGTCTGTTTCTCTGACTGATGGGATACAGCCATCACAGTCTGCTTCTGGACGTCAGACTGCATGGTTTGGAGCTGCAGGCCAGATGTCTATGGCTGACATTGTGAAGATGGGTAGACCCCAAAACAAGACAACGAACCCCAGGCAGAATGTTGATACACGCCCTGAAGTATATAGTGAGCATGACGTTGCAAATCAACATGTTCCTTTCAAGGATGAATGGCCCTCGATTGAGAAGCCGGTAGCTGCTACCACCTCTTCTTTATCAAAGGCACAGGCAGAGTCGGAGTTATGTGCTGATCCATCTGGTAGAGGAGATCAACCATTTAAGGTCCAGTTAGAAGAGATCCATCAATCAGAAAACGGTCCACTAGGGAATCTTGGGATAGATCAACCGCGGCCTGATTCTGTTTCTGGTAGAAGCGTTCAGGAAGATGACTCTGGAGTTTCTTCTGAGTTTGATGATAATTTATACAAACATGAAATGCAGAGCCATCTTGTTGAGCATGAAAAAGGTAAGATGGATAAATGTTTCCCAGTATGTAGTGGTTTCTATATTGTTGACACGGTTGATGACCATGTCTCTTAATGTATGAAGCTTTCTAAGTCTTTACTTTACCACTACTGCAATTTGGAAATGGTGTCTCCTTTTCTCTCTTCCTTCTTGGTGCTAGTATAGTATAACACTGAGGGAGTAGCAGACATAACTTCTTAAAGGCCTATTTTGAAACTTCTCATTTTCGATTTTGTTCCCTTCTCTTGATTGTTTTTTGGTGTCAGTATGACGTTTATCGTTGGGGAAGGTCGGTGACATGAAGATCCTTTGTTGTACTTGATTTGTGTCTTATTCTGTGTCTTATTGTCATTCTTCAGATGAAGACGGTACTTCATTTGTCGCTACCAACCTTCAACAATTAAGCATAGAGAATCATGATCATGAAGCATCGCACGGAGAGGACAGACCTGGTGTCATAATTCCAGATCATCTGCAAGTCCATGCTCCGGAGTGTTCGCAACTAAGCTTTGGAAGTTTTGGAGGTTTTGGATCAAGGCCTTTGAGCAACAACGGAGAAGAGGCTTCTGATGAAGCCCCACAAATTGATCACTCAGATTCTAGGCATGCCTCTATTACCAAATTGCTTCTTCTGAATAGTTTTCTGGATTATTTATCTTTCACTTGCTGTTTTCTAATAATCTGACACATGCTTCTGCTCAGGAATACTGAATTCTACGATGATGAACATATTGCAAACACGAACAATGGAGATATTGTCCACGAAGCTAATCCAAGTACTGGAAATCATGATACTTCAGATTCTCAGCGAGAGATTTTGGAGCAAGAACGCTCCGAAACTTCTCAGGGGCACCAGTACACTTTTGCTCAATCTGAACCAGGATATGCATATGAAAATGCTAAGCAGCAGCAGCAGCTGAATACAGCCTTTGACGAATCACGGACAAGCACCCAGATGCAGAATCTTGCTGCACTATCGAATGTGATGGTAAGCTTGCATACAACATAACATAACACACTAGTTATGTTAGAAGAGACATGCATGTGCAGTTTATACTACAATCAGATCCCCGTGACCGTAGAAATCGTGCTTGTGAATTGATAACTTCTTTATAGGACCCTGTTTTTTGGCAAAGATTCATTCGCACTAATTCCGATCAGCTTATAGTACTTCCATTAGAAAAAAAAAGGAGTTTTTTTATCTTTCGATTGATGTGAGTCATGAAATTGATGATCCCTTTAAGATCTTGAATGACAGAAAGATTGGTTTGTGTGTTTTGCTTTCCAGCAAGGTTATACAAGCACAATTCCCAACTTGGCACAACCTGCACAGAGTGCGAGGGAGCTTGAGCTTCAGTACTCACCTTTCCCCATTGCACAGTCCATGACTTTGAGAAATAGCAACAGTCCTCCATTAAATGGCCAAAGCATTTCCATGCCAGAGGTGATGATCCCTTTGTCTCTTCTAGGACATAATAATATTTTCTTTTTTAATGTATCTGATATATCTCTGTTCTTTGAATCTGATTATACAGAACAGATGTGTTTCTTCTGATATGAGCTCAGCCCTTTTAATTAGTGCAAATTTTTGTTTTCTTTTTGCTTGTGTTGGCAATATAACCCACTAGGGGATTTCATCCTATATATTGTATTCTGATTATATAGTTTTACATGCCTGCAGGCAATGAGAGGCAGTGGTATTTCTACAACGCAATCTGTTCAACAAGCCTTACCAGGGGGGAATATTGCTACTGGACCGGCTCTTCCCCAGCAGCTAGCGATGCATCCATACTCTCAACCGACCTTGCCTCTGACTCACTTCCCGAATATGATGGGTTATCCTTTGCTGCCTCAAAGTTACCCTTACATGCCTTCGGCTTTCCAGCAAGCATTTGCGGGTAACAGCTCATACCACCAGTCTCTGGCCGCTTTGCTTCCGCAGTACAAAAACAGTGTTGCTGCAAGCAGTTTGCCTCAGACGGCAACAGGTGCTGCCCCCTCGGCTTATGGGTTTGGAAATTCGAGCAATATTGGAACTGGTAACTACCCTCTTAACCAACCGACAGCTCCTCCTACCGGGACGACACTTGGTTATGGAGATGTCTTGAGTTCACAATACAAGGAGATTAACCATCTTCTGTCCCTCCAGCAGCAGCAGCAGGTAATTTCTCGAAATGCAATGAATTGAACGTTTTGACGATGAACTTCCCGGGTATAATTGATGGATCATTTCATTCCCGTCTGGAAAGTCAGGTTCTTGATTTAGAGCTGAAATTTGGAGGAATAGAAGTGAAAGAATACGAGGTGGCTAGGGTTTCTGTTTCAGACAACCTAATGCAGTTCGTTTGTTTCTTGTTGATCTCAGAACGAGAACTCGGCCATGTGGGTTCATGGTCATGGTGCCCAAACCATGCCAGCCATCCCGACCAACACATACTACAACCTGCAAGCAGCACACCATAACCAACAGGCATCATCGTCGTCGTCATCCGGGTATCATCGACATGCTCATCAGCCGGATTATGGATCTCTCGGCTACCCGAACTTCTACCAGTCCCAAACAGGGATGTCTCTGGAGCAGCAGCAGCAGCAAAACCCTCGAGACGGCGGCTCACAAGGTCAGCCGCCCTCGAAGCAGATCTGGCAAAACTCGTACTGAAAAAAAAGGGTTTCTTGATCTTCGGTTTCGCTTTTTTTTTTCCGGGCTCGTGGTTTTTCGGGGGCTGCATAGCCATGGCTATATGATATGATGATGATGATGATGAGCTCTGTTTGTGTCACCGGCTACGGAGCCTTCACCACGAGTGTAATTTATCAAACCAATGCTCTGTTTTTAACTTAGGGAAACACGCAGAACTCTCTAATCCAGTTCAACTCAAACTCCAAACAGTCTGTCTCCTCTCTCTCTCTCTCTCTCTCTCTCTCTGTGAATATTCATCATCAGTGATGCTAAATTTCTGTGGAAAATTTTGGGTCAAGAGGAGAAGTGGGAAAATGTGGAAGAAATGGTGATAAAGTCTGAATTTGGACTAATTTAATGTATTACTGATTACTTTTCAACATTGGTTATGTTGCAATGTAATATATAAATATATGTATATGTGTGTGTATATATATGATGTGTGGAGGATGCCATTTTACAATCCGGAGTTTCTGTTCCAATCTGCCATTTTCCTCCAATGGATTCTCTTAATGATCTTCAATGTTTTTGTTTCATTAGCCTTTCAAGCATCTTTAACTGATACAACACCATCTTATGTCTCATCTTCCACTTCCAAATCAATAAAATCATTCCAACACTTGAAATGTTCTAAACTTCACTGTATATAGTTATACTGCAGAGGTACTGTGTGTATATATATATATATATATCATAGCTCAATATATTACACTGTAACAGAACATAACAGAACAGAGAATTTTCCAACATCATAAACTCTTTCTTCCTTTGTTTCCCCATCCACACACACATATACATATATATATATATATAACATTCTGCTCTAAACCTTATGTATACATATCTCCCAACCAATGAATGCGTTTAGACATCACCAACAAAAAAATTTTCTTGTCCCCTCTGAGATTTTGCAGTGAAACAACAGAGATTACAAAACAGGTACTGATATGGAGATTGGGACTGAGACATCAGTGGTGAATCCACCATCTCTGTTCCCGTTCGAGTTACCTGAAAACCCTAATCCGCCCGACCGGAGAGCTCCATTTTCGCACCTCTGGAAAACCCGAGCCAGCGAAGCTGCTTTTCTCCGGGCCCGCTTCGTGCCAGTGAACAAAAGGGTTTGGATCAAACCCGCTAGAGCCGGTGCCCTCACCACCTTCTCGGCCACTGCAGCTCCGCCACTCCTGCAGAGTTCGAGCAATGCAGCCACCGCATTCTCTTTCCCCCGAGGGGTTCCACATCTCATCATGGCTATGAGACCCGTGACAGCGGATTCCTCCCGTCCTATGGCTCGTGCTCCTAACGGTTGCCTCACCATCAAGGCCAATGCCCCGGCCGCTTCCTCTGCCACACCCTCGTTCGAAAGTGCCACCACGAGGGCCGCCACTCCTCCACTCTCTACCATTCTGCTGCAGTTTTCTACATGCGTCGATATGTTATACAATGCCGTTACAGCGTCTTTCTTCCCTCTCGGTGTCCCGTTTTTTAGCAGCAAGGCTAATGCCTCTATGCATCCTTCAACACCCGCTATCCGTTTCTTATAGTCGTGTACCGCAGACAGACTGAACAATGTGGCTGCAGCGTTTTCCTGTGCTTCCGTAGTTAGGCCAGAGATAAGAACACACACTATCGACTCCAAACAGTTCTCTTCCTCCATGATCCGCCTTTTGTTCTTTTCGTAGATGGATAGATTAAGCATTGCTGTCACGGAATTCTCTTGGGCAATAGGGTTTTGAGACTTCAGAAGCCTGCACAGATGTGGTATTGCGCCGGCCTCTGCAATGTAGGAACGGTTTTCCTTCCCAGTTTTGGCCAGAAGGCGTATTTCCCGAGCTGCCACTGTCTGAGCTGCTTCCGACCCATTTGCCAGATTCTGGATAAGGATCAACACAGTGGCTTTGTTAGCTTCGACTGCGGCTTTCGTCGGGAGAGCCAACCCGAAAGGCTCGGTTGGTGTCTCTATGATCTCCGAGTCATGAGATATCCCGCTGGCCATGCACCATTGCAGGATCAGGTTTTTAAGAGCTCGATTTGGGACGAGACGAGAGTCGATGAGCACTTGACCGGTTTTCGGACAAGTACAGTGCCCTTCTTCAATCCACCTAACAATGGAATTTCGATCATAAGTCTGTCCTGTCGAAACAATAACAGGATCCCTCATCAAATCCAGAGAGATTGGACAAACAAAATCCTTTGGAATCGTTATAAAAGTGTCCCCAATCTCCTGCGCAATAACCCCTTTCCTCAGCTTCTTCGGATTCTCGATTCTCCACTCCAATCCATCTTCTTCGAATCCAAATAGCAAAAACCTGCAGTAACGAGTGATCGCCACAAACCCGTTAATCACCGATCCTGTAGGCTCCATATCTCCATCATGATTCACAATCTGTTCATCCAGAAACTCGATTTCAGCTCTGCACCTCTTCGAATCCGCAATTCCGAGTTTTTCCACAAAGAACGATCTCAGTTCCGACGAATCTGGCATCCGACCGTTCTCGAACTCGTCGAGGAACGAGTAGAACCTGTCCCTCAGTGCTTCGTCGTTCTCATCAACATGCAGTTTCGTGTTCCTGGATTGTTTCTGCAATAGCTCGATCTGCTCTCTAATGTCATCGCTCAGACCCAGATCGTTAACGGGAATAACATCCAAAAGGGTCGAGATTTCTTGATCCAGATCATGGAAATACCCTGAAATCGATGGGTTTTGCAGCAACAGCCATAACTTACTGGATTGAGCGCAGTAGTCGAGGAGGATTTTGGAACGGTAGAGGAGAAGATAGAGCTCCTTCAGACATAGCACCGCCGTATGAGAGAGAACCCGACCAGGACCTGAACCCGAATCGGAGAGAAATTCGAACATGACGACGAAGACTTCGATCTTACGAATCAGTGAGCGAGCGTTCCTGCGTTGGAAGAAGAAGTGGACGCCACTGAAGCACGAGACAACCTCCGACGAAATCGAGGCTAGGGTTTGAACAAGGGCGATGCCGGTGAGGTTGACCGGAGCAAGGAATGCCTCCAGCGACGGCGATCTCCTCCGCCGCAGGGATGAGAAAATCGCGGCGCTAGCCATGGACGCAAGGGGAGGAGAAATCCGGCGGATTTCCTCGGAGAACCCGTCGGCTTTTTGCCCAGATCAAACGAATCGAAGAAATCGCGGAATTTCGCGGAATCAAAAGGTCAAATCGGAAATTCTAAATCATGGGTTTGAAGGGTCAGATAGGAGGAAGAAGCGAAAAGGGGTTATTAAGAGAAAAGGGGGAAAAAAGGAAAACTCCGTGTTTGGAAGGTGAGAAAAAGAAAGGCCAGAATTTTCTCGCACTTTCTCTCTTAGCTGGTAAAAGATTTTCTCTCTCTAGGAATTTTGCAAGTGAAGATGAAAACAGTTAATGGATAATAATTATCGTCTAGATTTCTGTCCATCCATTTTCTCATTTCTTTAATTTATTTTATATTATTAAATATATTGACTATTAATGTGCTACAGTATTTCGAAAATTATTAATTAATTACCCCCATAATTAATACCTCTGCAAAAAACATTTATGGTCTCGTCGATCTATGCTACGACTCCATTTTTTTAAATTAAAAATATTAATGTCGGCATTTTTACTTCACGATAGTTTGCATTTTATTTAAATGATTTTTTTTTTATACATTGGAGAAACCCGTACCTACCCTTACAAACGGAGACGAACCGACCACCACTCACGCCTAACAGTCCCATGGACCTCAGTCCGTCGGACCTGGCCATCAGACGCGCCTAACGCTCGGGCCGTAATTGGGCTTAGCGCCTGCGGGTCAAACCCCAAACCTACGTGCACGAGCCTGCAACACACGCGTAGGAGGTAAATCAGTCCATTATGATAGGCTGACAGGCGAACAGACCTACGTGCACGAGCCTGCAACACACGCGTAGGAGGTAAATCAGTCCATTATGATAGGCTGACAGGCGAACAGGTTAGAGGAAGGGAGACGGCAGGATTCGGACCCCCCAGGAATTGCCCCCTGCTTCCAACCAGCTGACCTGGCCCCGAAGGGTTTATTTAAATGATTTTATATAGTGTTGATGACAATTTTAGCCAGAAAATAAAATTATATATTTTTATTTCGACCAAAATATGGTAGGTTGATGACAATTTACCTAGATTTTATGATTCAACGAAATATTAAATTTATGACGCGAGGGTGAAGAAATCTCCTTTAGTTTACCAAAAAAAGGAAAAAAAAAAGAAATTTCTTTATTAATAAAAAATAATATCATAAAAAAAGTAATTTGGGTGAAAAGAAAGTGTAAGCTTTTTAGGGGGGAAAATTTATTACTATATTATATTTAAAAATCATTATACTTTGCAAAATATTCAAAAAGTGGCATAGAAGGGAATCCTAATCCTTTTAATTTCGTTTGAGATTTTCTACCTTTTTTTAAAAATTAAAATTAAAAAAAAAAAGCTGTAGGTTTGAAGAAGAGTTGACTTTTAAAAGGAATGTGTGATACACGCGCTGAGAAGGCGCGTGTGAGAGAGTGAAACGAGAAGGCAAAGTTGACTAGAGGACGAAGACAGAACGGACAGATGAATATCCGACAAAGCACAGAGAAGCAAACAGTGAAAAGAAACTGAAGCATTTGACATAAGCCTAAAGGGGGCTCACGTAATGGTGGGTTAGGTGATACTGTGTCGTTTTGGAAAACAACAATTTATATAAAATAATATAAAAAACTTAATAATTTGAATGCATGAACAAAACTTTTTATAATTTTGAGATTTTCAAGTTTATTTTTAAAAAATATATAAAACCTTTTCTTATTTTTAGAAGAATACTTGAGATAAAAAAAAAAAGAGAGAAAAAGTTTTCTATTAATTCTATTAATCAAACGATTCTAAAAAAATCTAAATACAAATACTATAGGAAGACAAAATCCAAAACCTTAATTTAGTTTTCACTAGAATCCTAATGTAAACAAGTTTCTTATATATATATATATAT